CCAAACTGCATTTGAAAATACTCGCATCGTATAAGCGTTTGGATGTATCTGCCCTTAAAAACACTACTCAAATATGTATAAAAATGCGTCTTCAGCAAATAGTACTCGTATGAAAGATCGCTTGTATGTTTAGTTGCCTATGTCTTAGGAAACAAAAAATAACCTCTACAAGATTCACTTTGAAAATATTTTAAAGATTTTGACAGACCTCTCATGATGACAAATAGGATAGCCAAGATATCGGCTGTGGTTGTTAATGACGAAAAGCCAGATGAGCAAATGTGAAGAACACTTCCGCCCAGGGCGACCTTCCGGAAGCCGTATCTGATCATAAGCTGAAACACACCACAGATGTGCAACATAAAGTTACACTATTTGTGACTTAATGCAAAATGTGACAATATGTTTTTTTATTATCTGGACATGATACGCATGTAAGTCATGAATAAATACACTCACGAAAATCAAAACCACCGATATGACGTTGGTGACCAAGGTAAAAATATCTTAGATGGTATGGTTAAAGCAGTCGCTCGTCAATGCGAAGGCTCGGTTTCGAGACACCATCCAGGTACAATGTGTGAAACCCATTTCTGACATTCCCCGCTATACTATTGCTGAATAAATGCACAGAGCCACGTGAACAATAATCACTCATTTATCTTAAATCAATTACCTGCCAGTCCAGAAAACACACAAAATGTGATCAGATCTTCAGGGACCGTCCGTCCGGCTTCACTGGAATCTCCTCTTAAGTCGACCAGGGGAAAAAACATTAAGGATGTGCAGCACCCAACTGTGATGTTCACTATCACACTGGCAAATATGGGAACGAGAAACAGAATGGTCTTCTTACACTTAGACGTAAGCTGAAATTAACAAAGGAATATTGTTACTCTCTGTTCAATGTCAGTGATGTCATAATGACTTTGTTACACGCTGTTTCTGGGATTTTGTTCCATGGCTATGATGTCTTTCGTTGGATTTTGAAATTACTGACAATGCTAATTTCTTCTTTTGTGTTGTTTATTGGTTTATGTTATTGGTTACTCAATAAAACCTGCAAATATAAAAATAACATTTATCTAAAAAATGAACCGAAAACATCACACAGCCAAACTTCACATAGACTTTTAAACTATTTCAACTCTTACCGTACGTGGCTCGGTTATTACTTCAATGTAATTATACGCAGGGTTGGTTCCAGCAATGCATTCATAGTCATTAGCTTCTGATTGGCTTCTTTCAATAGCCTGATAATCAGAGGCTGGGTTGACATCGTCAATGTAGTTATATTCAACAGAAACAGGATTTCTGTGGTCGGTGCTAGCGTAACTACCAGCAGTAGTTTCATCAATGGATTCGAACTCCCTTGGCTTGTTTTCATCCAGGATCCCTTGTCCTTCGTCATGAGAAGGGAGGATTTCATCAGCGGATTCCAGATGAGAAGTTGGTCTGAATTCAGCCGACATTGTTGGTAATGTCAGATTAAATAGGCTATTTGTAGCAAGTTCGTATGTAGCTGATCTAACGTAGAGGCAATGGACGACAAAGTGAAATCGTTACACTACATTGTGTTTCGCGGCAGTTTCGTTTTGTAATTTTTAGTTAAATATTCATAAGTAAGTTTCACAGCTCGTGTTACTTCTTGTTGCGGAAATTGTATCCGTATGCAGCCGCTGTATTCGTAATCTGACTTCGGGATTAGAATTGAATTATGACAATATTTCATACACTGAGAAACCTTGAAATGTTAAAAGAATAATTATCTCAGTAACCTCTAGTCTCGGACATGTCATGTGTATGTTAATGACCTCGTATTTCATTACATTTTCTCAATTTACTGACGAGTAATGTTTTATAAAACAAGCGTCTGCATTGTTTTTCTAATGAACCTGGCAGACAGACTGAACCATTTTCAAAAGGGAATTTTGTGCCATTGATTCTGAACTTATGTAGATAATATGATGACACAGGGTGTTTGATTAGAATGCAAGGTGTGTGCTCTGTGATTCTATGTTTTCTGTCTTTTTTAGGTTGTAGATTATTTGTTGGACGGTGATTATGACCTTTTCACTTTGGCCACAATGCATGACAGGACTGTTTTTCAGTGATCCACTTATTTAACCCTTTACTCATTTGAGAGGTTACTCTCTGACACTGATCCACACACACACACACACACACACACACACACACACAACGGTGTTCAACGGTTATCCACAAAGCCAACGAGCGCTATAACAGGGACATATTCTGTCCTTGTAAAGTATTCTCACATTTTCAGTTACGGTTTCATAATCAATATTTATTTCTATTCAGTTTAACCGACAGTGAACCTTATATTTCTGACCATCACTGACAGTTTACTTTGTATCTCATCTCATAATAGAATTATTTTTTACACGGACATAATACTATGATGTTGTATTTGTAAATTCAAATTTAATACGATATCGTATTCTCGTAACTAAGTGTATGTTTGATTATTGCCTGAGGAACAACAGTCATATGAGGGTATATATTGATTTGTCACTTGCATGAAGGATTTATTTATTAGTCAAATGTGTGTTTATGCGACCGCCTTTGTGTCGATAGAGCGTTTACCCCTAGAAAGGAGGGCAGGTGGTTCGAACACCAGCCGCGTCATACCGAAAATAACCCGTTAAAAGTTGAAATTTGAGTTTTCTCTGCCTGGCGCTCAGCATAAAGTTGATAAAACAAGAACTGTATACTGTGTGGGAGAGAGAGAGAGAGGTATCTACAGCTTTTACACAACATGTAAAATAATTTTAAAAAAAAGAACATTTTGACACACACACGTTTGATCTTAACTGATGCTGATGATGCAAAGGAAATGAAACGGCAATAAAAGCACTGTAGGCATGTTGAATCTGGCCGCGTCGTACCAAAAGACGTTAAAAGATCGTACTTGTTGTTATCCTGCCTGGCGCTTAAGGGGCAAGAGCAAGGACTGGTCGGCTCAGTATACTGTGTCTGAGTGGAGTATTCATGTTAAACAGCTGCATGGTATCTCAGTGAGCTAGCACGATAACTCGGCATTAGTCTTGACTAGTACAAGCTTACACACACACACACACACACACACACACACACACACACACACACACACACACACACACACACACACACACACACACACACACACACACACACACACACACACACACACACACACACACACACACACACACACTGAAAGAGTGAATCTTTGTCCACAAATAAGCATAACGATCTTGACGTTTTACAAAGTGGTTTTCAAGATACTATTGGACATTTCATTTCGTGCAGTATTAATATAATTGTTATGGAGCTGCAGGCTGCCTCAGACAGTTGTGGCAGGTAAGTTGTTGCTACAAATGACGGGTCTGGCCCTTGGGTAGCAGGGATCGGGCTCCCTATGATCAGGTTTTACAATCCCAGTCGTGTTGCACACCTGATATATCAATACCGACAAAGATTGAGAAAGAAGTTCTGTTCAATAGTATAAGCATCGGCGATGACGGCGAGGCCTCAAATAAACTTTTTCCGATGTGGTTATTGTGATTTGAAACCTGACTGTAATTATGACCATGACACCACAGAATGCTTGAGAATATAAGTATTTGATCCTGCTCTGGAGTAACACTTGTTTATGTTTGTCCCTGTCTGTGACCCCTTTTCGGCGTTCTCTAAGATGGTTGGCCTATTGGCCAGTGAATACATACGCGTTCCAAGAGAGCACAATTTTCAAACCGCTCTTGTGGTCATGGTAGAATGGAGATAGACGTGGTTCCAAAGTAAAATAAGAGGTATCAAATCTACGGTTAGACTATCTCAAATTTAAAAACACAGAAGGTATAACCATTAGGGGTTATGATCAAACTCATAAAATAAGATCTTTGTGCTCGCTACAGCTTAAAAAGCATCAGTGGGAATCCCATTACAGTTCACGTCAGAACTTTGACTGACCAATGAATGACTAACAGGAAGTCGACGTTAGCCAATCAGAAAGCAGCTTTCTCGAGCTTTACGGCACAATTGTCAAACTGTGGACATCCAATCCAGACAACGCTTGGAAAACTATTTTGGCAAAGTTCTCGATTCAAGATTTGGAATGTCATAAATGACCGATATCGTATGATAGTATATTCCCCGGTCTATGGCATGTCTCTTCCGTTTCAAATTTTTATTTAATTGAAGCAAGAGATGCCCCGTGTTAATGATAGAGACTGGATAGTATCTGGTGTTGCCGTTATATAGTATATTAACCTAAGGCTGCATGATTAGAAAACACACTCGGACTTTCACTTACGCGCTCTCATTGGTGAAATGAAAGGTCGTACTGACGTGACCTGTAATGGGATGTCCAGAGGCCTATGTGTAGCGGTAGTGAGCACTAAGATCTGTTTGTGATGATACTGGGGTGTGATTCCTGTTCTGGTGCCCGATTTCTCCCCAGATATAGCATTCGTAAGGTGTGTGTGACATTGCCAATGTGCAGTTAAGGTTATTATCGAACCAACGTCATTCCACTCTCCTGGCAGACGCTCTATCCACAAGACCACGGATGTGATCTGAAAATTTGAACTAGAAGACAAAGAGGTGTTTGATGGATTGAAATCAAATTTGCTAGGACTTCCTATAAAAATAAGATATCTGGTCCGGTTGGTTTCAATACATTTATTTATCTTCCACTCACGGCTGTACGATTGACATAATACTTAGGGGATGTTACGTGTAACAAATACCCCAGAAATCAATGTGGTCGTTAATGTCCACGTGTCTATGTGTTCATGGTGGAAGTTTTGTGTTTCAAAAATGCATGTTAGAGTCATTGTGTGTCGACTACACTACAAGAAAACATCCGTCAACATTAGCAACTTTCACGAAGGCAGGCCATGTATATATATTTAGTAATATAAGAACTGAATCGACAAGAGTATTTCTGATTAGTTAAACCCATGTAGGTTCAGACGGCTTAAAAGGCGTCAGTGAGAACACAGCTTAACACAGCACGGAGTTGAGAGTAAGAGTTGGAGTCAACTGCGCCTGCGTGCTTAATTACGTCATGCCCTGTGTTCCGCTTCTGTTCTTATTGATCACGTCGTACACGCATGGTCAACCACGTGGCGCTGGCCCTCCACGACCACGGCCACCACCGACTCAAGGCCCAGGTAGGTTGACGTTACGTTATGCCTCAAAAAGATACACTCGCCGCCGACTTAAGGTACAAGAAGGTTGGCGTAACTCCTCTTTAAGATACACCCGCCGCCGCCACAAGTAGGTTGGTGTCATGAATCTTTATGATACATCCGCCGCCGTCTCAAGGCCCAGATAGGTTGGCCTTACTCCTCCTCAAGATACACCCGCCGCCGTCTTAAGTCCTAAGTAGGTTAACGTAATGCCTCTATAAGATACACCCGCCGCCGTCACAAGTAGGTTGGTGTGATGTATCTTTAAGACACACCCGAATCAAGGCCCAGGTAGGTTGGCGTTACTCCTCTTTAAGATACACACGCCGCCGTCTTATGACACGTGTGGGTTAGTGTTACTCCTCTTTAAGATACACACGCCGCCGTCTCAAGGCACGTGTGGGTTGGTGTTACTCCTCTTTAAGATACACACGCTGCCGTCTCAAGGCACATGTGGGTTGGTGTTACTCCTCTTTAAGATACACACGCCGCCGTCTCAAGGCCCAGGTAGGTTAACGTTATGCCTCTATAAGATACACCCGCCGCTGTCATAAGTAGGTTGGTGTAATGAATCTTTAGGATACAGACGACTCAAGGCCAAGGTCGGTTGGTGTTACTCCTCTTTAAGATACACACGCCGCCGACTCAAGGCCCAGGTAGTTTGGGATCATGCTTCTATACGTCCGCCCCATAAGCAGACATCTCGTGCGAGCAGTGGACATGACGTATATGACGAGATATGACGTATAGCATATACATATAGGGAGATGATTTACTTTCTGTGCGGCTGGTTTGTGGAATTAGACACGTATTTTATGGAGAAGTGTGTCGGGCGTCGTTGATAGTTATACAGTATTTTACTGTTATCTGTCTATGTTATCTACATGCTGCCACAAATGGCGTATGGGAAGTAAAGTCACCCTTTGTTCACGCCTGGGTTTAACAAAGACTCTGTAGGCATTAATACGCTCACTGACATGTATATTGATGTGGTAGATGAGCTGTTGGTATCAGTTGTGTGTATCAGCTGTGTGTATCAGCTTTCTGCATCAACTGTTTGTATCAGCTGTGTGTATCTGCAGACTGTGTCCGCTGTGTGTATCAGCTGTGTCTATCAGCTTTCTGCATCAGCTGTTGGTATCAGCTGTGTGTATCTGCAGATTGTGTCAGCTGTGTGTGTCAGCTGTGTGTATCAACTTTGTGTATCAACTTTGTGTATCAGCTGTGTGTATCAGCTGTGTGTGTCAGTTGTGTGTGTCAGCTGTGTGCATCAGCTGTGTGTATCAGCTGTGTGTGTCCGCTGTGTGTGTCAGCTGTGTGTGTCAGCTGTGTGTATCAGCTGTGTGTACCAGCTGTATGTGTCAGCTGTGTGTGACAGCTGTGTGTGCCAGCTGAGTGTGTCCGTTGGGTGTATCAGCTGTGTGTGTCAGCTGTGTGTCAGCTCTGTGCATCAGCTGTGTGTCCGCTGGGTGTATCAGCTGTGTGTGTCAGCTGTGTGTATCAGCTGTGTGTCCGCTTGGTGTATCAGCTGTGTGCATCAGCTGTGTTTGTCAGGTGTGTGCGTCAGCTGTGTGCATCATCTGTGTTTGTCAGGTGTGTGTCCGCTTCGTGTATCAGCTGTGTGCATCCGCTGTTAGTGTCAGGTGTGTGTGTGAGCTGTGTGGATCAGCTGTGTGTCAGCTGTGTGCATCAGGTGTGTGTATCAGATGTGTGTATCAGCTCTGTGCATCCTCTGTGCATCAGCTGTGGGTGTCAACTTTGTGTACCAGCTGTGTGTATCAGCTCTGTGCATCCTCTGTGCATCAGCTGTGTGTGTCAGCTGTGTGTGTCAGCTGTGTGTACCAGCTGTGTGTATCAGCTTAGTGCATCCATCAGCTGGGTGTGTCCGCTGTGTGTCTGATGGGTGTATCAGCTGTGTGTATCAGCTGTGTGTGTCAGTTGTGTGTATCACCTGTGTGTGTCAGCTGTGTGGATTAGCTGTGTGTATCAGCTGTGTGTGTCAGCTGTGTGTCAGCTGTGTGTATCAGCTGTGTGCATCAGCTGTGTGTATCAGCTGTGTGTGTCAGCTGTGTGTCCGCTTGGTGTATCAGCTGTGTGTGTCAGCTACGTGCATAAGCTGTGTGTATCAGCTGTGTGTATCCGCTCTATGCATCAGCTGTGTATCAGCTGTGTGTGTCAGATGTGTGTGTAAGCTGTGTGTGTGAACTGTGTGTATCAGCTGTGTGTATCAGCTCTGTGCATCAGCTGTGTGTGTCAGCTGTGTGTACCAGCTGTGTTTATCAGCTGTGTACATCAGCTGGGTGTGTGAGCTGTGTGTCCGCTGTGTGTATCAGCTGTGTGTATCAGCTCTGTGCATCAGCTGTGTGTGTCAGCTGTATGTATCAGCTCTGTGCATCAGCTGTGTGTGCCAGCTGTGTGTGTTAGCTGTGTGTATCAGCTGTGTGCATCAGCTCTGTGTCTCCGCTGTGTGTCCGCTGGGTGTATCATCTCTGTGTATCACCAAGGACGATGTTAGAATTTAGATTCTCTTTGGCCAACACGTAATGTTAAATTTTACGACATGGCGGATTTTATATTTTCGTGCACGTTATTTGACATGTTGAAGTGTTCATATGACTGACCGCTTAGAAGTGCAGCTGTGTGTGTCAGCTCTGAGCATCAGCTGTGTGTGTCAGCTGTGTGTGTCAGATGTGTGTTTCAGCTCTAAGCATCAGCTGTGTATCAGCTCTGTGTGTCCGCTGTGTGTGTCAGCTGTGTGTATCAGCTGTGTGTATCAGCTCTGTGCACCAGCTGTGTGTGTCAGCTGTGTGTGTCCGCTGGGTGTATCAGCTGTGTGTATCAGCTGTGTGTGTAAGCTGTGTGTGTCTGCTGGGTGTATCAGCTGTGTGGATCAGCTGTGTGTGTCAGCTGTGTGACAGCTGTGTATCAGCTGTGTATCAGCTGTGTATCAGATGTGTGTGTCAGCTGTGTGTGTCAGCTGTGTGTATCAGCTGTGTGTATCAGCTGTGTGTATCAGCTCTGTGCATGAGCTGTGTGTGTCAGGTGTGTGTACAAGCTGTGTTTTTTTCAGCTGTGTGCATCAGCTGTGTGTGTCTGCTGTGTGTCCGCTGGGTGTATCAGCTGTGTGTATCAGCTGTGTGTGTCAGCTGTGTGTATCAGCTGTGTGTATCAGCTCTGTGCATCAGCTGTGTGTGTCAGCTGTGTGTGTCTGCTGTGTGTCCGCTGGGTGTATCAGCTGTGTGTATCAGCTGTGTGTGTCAGCTGTGTGTATCAGCTGTGTGTATCAGCTCTGTGCATCAGCTGTGTGTGTCAGCTGTGTGTGTTAGCTGTGTGTATCAGCTGCGTGTGTCAGCTGTGTGTACCAGCTGTGTGTATCAGCTGTGTGTATCAGCTCTGTGCATCAGCTGTGTGTGTCAGCTGTGTGTGTTAGCTGTGTGTATCAGCTGCGTTTGTCAGCTGTGTGTACCAGCTGTGTGTATCAGCTGTGTGCATCAGCTGGGTGTCTCCGCTGTGTGTCCGATGGGTGTATCATCTCTGTGTATCGCCAAGGACGATGTTAGAATTAAGATTATCTTTGGCCAACGCGTAATGTTAAATTTTACGACATGGCGGATTTTATATTTTCGTGCACGTTATTTGACATGTTGAAGTGTTCATATGACTGACCGCTTAGTAGTGCAGCTTTTTGTCTTTTTCTCACTTGCAAGTGACCACTTGTGCGTGACCAAATATGGCTAAGATTGCGTGGAAAAGGCTGATATCTTCCAACTTCAAGAATGGTTGTTTCAGTCACCCAAGATGGCATATCCACCACATTTTTGTACTATCCTTTGACAAGCTTTCTAATTCGCATATTAATTAAAAACGAATCCTGAAAACGACAAAAAAAAAATCTTTTACTTTGGCCTTACCTCTGCATCTACGTTTGTGCAAAATATGCACATATTGAAAAGAAGAAAACCCTACAACAGCAATTTGGATACGATGACCTGCATCAACCAAGTCAGCGAACCTGACCACCCGATCCCGTTAGTCGCCTCTTACAACAAGCACGGTCACCTGTTTCGGCAAGTATGGTTGCTGAAGATTCCAACCCGGCTCTCCACGGGTCCCAATACCAATGCAGGGCGCGTGTAGGCAAGGGGAAATCTCCTCAGACCCTTCAGCCTTCGATCGGGCTATTGCAATAGAAGATATAGTTACACAATTTAGACGATAAAACTAATACTAACAAATATTTATTTTAACAAGAAACGAAGCTGAAAATCCACCGGTTCCATGCTGTTATTGAATTCCAGTGTGCGGATGGATCTCCAATCACTCAGTCACGCGCCCTGTAAGGGGAACGTCACTTTCAAACGTCGACTAGCAGATGCTGATATAAATGTCTGCTGCACCTTCACTTCGTCACAACTCCACACAAACTAGTTCCAGATTAGGTGTTTAGGATGTATTTGCACTGTTTACCGTTCCGCGGTTCTAAGCACGACGAGACTGCATTATAAGAAATCGCTGAAACCCGTTGCGTATCTGGAATACCCACTTCCCAAAGAAAACACCGGTTGTCACGCCTGGCCCGTGATATTGCTGTCCGTTGTGCGTCGCGCTGTGCTGTGCTGTGAGTCTGGCAAAATGACTTGTCTGTGGGATGGAGTCTGGGAAGCTGACATCTGTGGGGAGACAGGTGACGGGCAGGAACATCCACATCAAGGCTCGGGGATTTTTACAGCATATTGATTAAAAACTGAAATAATAACCAGGAAGTACGTGAGCTTAGATTGAGAAATATCGTTAAATATTGAGCCAGTAGACGTGTTTGAGTCGTATGTGACCTTTGCATAGGCTCGACCGACACCTTGCCGACACCATCACACTGACCACGGGTACCTACGTACGTGTTTCGTCATAAGCGAAAGCTCGCAAGTTGAATGTTTTATACCTTCAGAAGGTGAGGTGAGGTGAGGAGAGGTGAGGTGAGGTGGGGTGAGGTGAGGTGAGGTGAGATTAGGTGAAGATGAGGTGAGGTGAGGTGAGGTGAGGTGAGATGAGGATTAACTTCCCTTTCAACATTATTACACTGATACTGCGATGTGCATGCACGCGTGTGTGGCTGAATGTACTAGTCCAGACGAATGCAAGTGTTACAGTGCTAGCCTACTTTGATACCATGACGCAGTTGAACAGGGATACCGCTCAGACATAGTATACAACACTCCCATCTGTCGCAAGAACCTGTAAGAATGTAGTTTGTAGCAGACATTTAGTGCATTTTATTGGGGTAAACAGGGCTATCGTTTAGTGGAATTTTGGAGGTACCCAAATCTACCCATTCACCTCAGGGCGCCGTTGTACAAAACAACATTAGACCCACGACTGTCTAAAGTCTATGTTAAGGTATGAGAGTTACGATCACCTTAGCGCTAAGATCGCTTTGTACAACGGCGCCATGTCCTCGCTGGTTTGTTCAGTTGTCAATGTCAACAACAACCAGTTCTCGCGGTAACGATGAGATTCATATGAACTAAAAAAACAACATATTTCGCCCATGGCATGGTTAACACATGTGTTTTAGATGAGACGGGCTATCAGACACTCAGGTGTGAACACGGGCACCTGTCAACACACACATGATGTTCGTCTAATGTCACGGGACTGTATAATTAACGCGCAAGCTTTTATTGTGAGCTTTAATTCGTGTGGCGCTGTCGTAGAGGCGTAGAGACGTTGATTCAGTAAGATGTTGCCGATGTCGTGCTGGTCAAGGGTGGGTGTGTGCATGGTCCTGTTGTGGTCATTCGTGGCTCGGACAAAAGGTAATATGTACCAGCACGGGGAGCACGTTGATATAGGGTACCTTGAACTGGCGCTGTCCCTGGATGTATTAGCCAGCATCCTGTGTGATATCGATGTTATTGTATTTATCATTCAGAATCCCGTGCGAATCAATGTTACAGTATATACAACGCTGCGTGAATCGTGATTTCAATATTACAGTATATATCAAACTGCATGTTGTGTGATATCAATGTTACAGTATATATCACGCTGCGTGAATCGTAATGTCAATATTACAGTATATATCAAACTGCATGTTGTGTGATATCAATGTTACAGTATATATCACGCTGCATGAATCGTGATGTCAATGTTACAGTATATATCAAACTGCATGTTGTGTGATGTCAATGTTACACTATATATCACGCTTCACGTATCGTGATGTCAATGTTACAGTATGTATCACGCTGAATGCCTCGTACTGTCAATGTTACACTATATATCACGCTGCATGGTCTCGTGATGTCAATTATACAGGATGTATCACGCTGCACGTAATATTACAGTAATGTGACGTCAAAGTTACATTATGCATCACGCTGAATACCTCGTGAAGTCAATGTTACACTTTTTATCACTTTGTATGCCTCGCGATGGAAAGGTTTAGAATATATCGTGTTGCGCGCTTCATGACGTTGATATAACAGTATATATCACGGTGCATGGTCTCATTGTGTCAATGTTACAGTTTATGTTACGCTGTATGCCTCGTGATGTCAGTGTCAAAGTATGTATCACGCTGCATGCCATGTTACATCAATGTTACACTATATATCACGGTACATGTCTCGTGATATCAATGATACAGTATATATCACGCTGCATGCCGTGTTACATCAATGATACAGTATATATCACACTGCATGCCGTGTAACATCAATGTTACAGTATATATCACGCTGCATGCCGTGTTCCATCAATGACACATTATATATCACGCTGCATGACGTGTTACATCAATGACACAGTTCATATCACGCTGCATGCCGTGTTACATCAATGACACACTATATATCACGCTGCATGCCGTGTTACATCAATGTTACGATATATATCACGGTACATGCCTCGTGATATCAATGACACAGTATATATCACGCTGCATGCCGTGTGATCCCAGGTGTGGGTGTCGTCATAGGTCCAGTCAACTGCCCACAACACCCGGCCGCCACCCGGCACTTCTACGACTCCACCACCAACAAGTGCTACCACTTCTACGACGTAGACGACACCCTGGAGGAGGCTGTCAGTCGATGTGAGGCGGAAGACACAAGAGTTGTCGAACTTGGGACAAAAGAAGAACAGAACTGGCTTGTTGGGGGAGTCTGTGGCATTCGAGGTACGAATAACAATTTCTTTTCACCTTCAGTAAAAACATTGACAAAAGGGATATGCTGTCGTCATGCTAATGTCTATCTTGTCTGAGGAAATTGGGATTAGCTCCGTGATGAAAACTGTTGATATCAGTGGCATGGTGGGTAATTTTATTTTTTTTAAAGTAAAGAAATTCCAGAAAACCCTGAAATTACCCGTCATTCCAATACATCCCATATCGTGAAGTCAGCAAGTCTTTATTCAAGGGCCCTGACACGAGGGATATAGTATCTCGGGAATTCTCGAGATTAACAAAACAACTCGGGAAAATTAGAACAGCAATGTTAAGCGTCCAATTATCCTGTAATATAACGTAGGGGTGTGATGCAGTAAAACTTACGTCATTCTACAGGGGCGGTCGGGTAGCCTAGTGGTTAAAGCGTTCGCTCGTCACGCCGAAGACCCGGGTTCGACTCCCGACATGGGTACAATGTGTGAAGTCCATTTCTGGTGTCCCCCACCGTGATATTGCTGGAATATTGCTAAACGCAGCGTAAAACCATACTCACTCACTTACGTCATTCTACATAGTATACTGCACACAACGGAGGGAATACTGGTTCTTGCTGTGATGAGTACCATGACAACGAGTGTGCCACTGAGCTTACTTAAGTACTTGACTCCATTGCCGAAAATACGATTTCGTCTCCGCTTCCTTTCAGCCCGTTGAGGGGCGGTCGTGTAGCCAAGTGGTTAAAGCGTTCGCTCGTCACGCCGAAGACCCGGGTCCCATTCCCGACATGGGTACAATGTGTGTAGCCCTTTTCTGATGTCCCCCGCCGTGATATTGCTGGAATATTGCTAAAGGCGGCGTAAAACCATACCCACTCACTCACTCACTCACTCCAGCCCGTTGGGGCTGGGTACAAGAAGAATAGAGGGCCACGTGGTCCGATGGCATGGGACGTTGTGTGTTGCTTGCCGTTGAGAAGCATTATCTGTTTGCTGGCGTCCCGTCTTTCATTATACGGCAATATTGATCATTTTCTGATAATACTCAAACACAATGCATCTGCAATGAGTTTTTTCAACCTTTTCGTGTCGTTGACGGTACGTGTAAGTATGCTTTTACGCCGCTTGTATCAATTGCCCCGCAATATCACGGCGGGGAACACCAGAAATGGGCTTCATACATTGTACCCATGTGGAATAGCACCCTGATCTTCGGCGTGAGGAGCGAACGCTTTACTATTAGGTTACCTCGCCGCCCCGCTGACAGGTATTACTGGGACCAACCTTGAAGCAAAAGTTGAAGGCAACGACCAATATATAGTCATGACCATTTGGCGCCAATATTCACATTCTGTCCCTAACTTTTCCAAGAATAACAAAAGAGTGAGTATGGTTTTACGCCGCTTTTAGCAATATTCCAGCAATATCACAACGGGGAACAAAATGGGTTTCACACATTGCACCAATGTCTACCCGACCGCCCCTGGAACAAGTGAATGGAAAGTTGCAATGCTTTTTTGGTGCTCTGTCACTATGAAAATGATCCCAGGTCTTCGGCGGGATGAGAGAACGTTTTAACCACTAGGCTACCCCACCACCCAATAACAAAACACCGTTAAAGCCATGTTTCCTAGACAATCATTGTTAAATACATAAATGTTATCCTCGAACTTCCACTGTACACTTACCGTTTGTATCATGGGCCTATGGCCTACAATAAACTTGAATAAAGACTACTACTACAACAAAACACCGGCTCCTCATATAAAGTGCTTCTGTCCAATAGGGATGGGCTGCCGTCCTCTCATTCTATGGCTGGGCCTGGTCCGAGAATCCCCCGACACCTGGAACTGGTTCTACAAGAGCAACCGATGGCTTGTGGTCTCGCCTCGATGGATACATTCGCCTCTTGCCTCTTCTACCGGATACACGCGAGCAGTCACGGACTGGGACGGAAAGTGGCGAGCCGTGACGAGTGGCCAAAAAGCCAAAGTTGTGTGTGAAGAAGTAACAGCAGGTATTTTTCTTTGTTTTATTGCAGTAGCAGTAGTGGCAAATGTTGTGGTAGGTGTAGAAGTGGAAAGTGTGGTGGTCGGTGTAGAAGTGGCAGCTGTAGGTGTGGTAGGTGTGGTAGTGGTAGGTGTATAAGTGGTAGCTGTGGTTGTGGTAGGTGTATAAGTGGTAGCTGTCGTGCTGGTAGGTGTATAAGTGGTAGCAGTGGTGCTGGTAGGTGTATAAGTGGTAGCTGTGGTGCTGGTAGGTGTAGAAGTGGTAGCTGTGGTGCTGGTAGGTGTAGAAGTGGTAGGTGTGGTAGTGGTAGGTGTATAAGTGGTAGCTGTGGTGCTGGTAGGTGTAGAAGTAGTAGCTGTGGTGCTGGTAGGTGTATAAGTGGTAGCTGTGGTGCTGGTAGGTGTAGAAGTGGTAGCTGTGGTGCTGGTAGGTGTATAAGTGGTAGCTGTGGTGCTGGTAGGTGTAGAAGTGGTAGCTGTGGTGCTGGTAGGTGTAGAAGTGGTAGGTGTGGTAGTGGTAGGTGTATAAGTGGTAGCTGTGGTGCTGGTAGGTGTAGAAGTAGTAGCTGTGGTGCTGGTAGGTGTATAAGTGGTAGCTGTGGTGCTGGTAGGTGTATAAGTGGTAGCTGTGGTGCTGGTAGGTGTATAAGTGGTAGCTGTGGTGCTGGTAGGTGTATAAGTGGTAGCTGTGGTGCTGGTAGGTGTAGAAGTGGTAGCTGTGGTGCTGGTAGGTGTAGAAGTAGTAGCTGTGGTGCTGGTAGGTGTAGAAGTGGTAGGTGTGGTAGTGGTAGGTGTATAAGTGGTAGCTGTGGTGGTGGTAGGTGTATAAGTGGTAGCTGTGGTGCTGGTAGGTGTAGAAGTAGTAGCTGTAGTGCTGGTAGCTGTAGAAGTGGTAGGTGTGGTAGTGGTAGGTGTAGAAGTGGTTGCTGTCGTAGTGGTCGGTGTAGAAGTGGCAGCTGTGGGTGTGGTAGGTGTAGAAGTGGTTGCTGTAGTAGTGGTCGGTGTAGAAGTGGCAGCTGTGGTAATGGTCGGTGTAGAAGTGGCAGCTGTGGGTGTGGTAGGTGTAGAAGTTGCAGCTGTGGTAGTGGTCGGTGTAGAAGTGGCAGCTGTGGGTGTGGTAGGTGTAGAAGTTGCAGCTGTGGTAGTGGTCGGTGTAGAAGTGGCAGCTGTGGGTGTGGCAGCTGTGGGTGTGGTAGGTGTAGAAGTGGTTGCTGTGGTGGTGCTGCTGGGTTTAGAAGGGGCAGCTGTGGTAGTGGTAAGTGTAGAAGAGATTGCTGTGGTGGTGGTGGTGGTGGATGTAGAAGTGGTTGTATATTTGTAGTGGTCGTAGTCGTAGTCAATTTGTAAGTGAGAAGTGACAGTTACTGTAATGTAACTTGTAATTTGACATCTTTGGCACCCGAGGACTTTCAGAGAGCGATTGTATGTCTGTAAAAGTTATAAACCCCTGAACACCTGGCAGACCTTCTCTGACGCGTTGTCTGTTCTTGTATAAGATAGCTACGCGATACATCGCAAAGAACAATGAAGAATAATTAAATTTTCCTTGGGTTCATTGAAATTCCTGCATTCTGATTAGCTGAATTGGTCACGTGTTATTGTATTCATTTCCCAATGATTGTAAACACTTTAGCCAGGCCCACAGAAGCGGACTACTTTTGTAAATGGATATAGCTCGATTATATATAATGTCTGTAGAAGTTCTATGCATAACTTATATAAGAATGAAAACCGAATTTGATGCGTGTAACTATCTTGTTTGGTTTAATAAAGTGATTGTAAATATCTCTTGCTCTCATGAATTTCTTCAGTTCTGCCTTTTAGTTGCAAAATGAATGACGTATCGCGATTGTTTATGAATGAAAAAAGTAGTCTCGGTGTGACAGAGGTCACGGTTATCCAATCAAAACGGATAAAACAAGGTCAACCTCGTTGGACACACGTGTGACGTACGGATTTAGTATCTTACCACCTGTATCATCACCACGTGGGTAATAAAAGAAATAATCGTCGTCAGTATATAATATACCATATAAGTAGGGTAATTCTGATTGTAAGTGACGTCATATCTAACAGTATGACGTCATAATATCCGTACTGATTAATAAACGAGTAAATCTTCTAGAAGGATGGTAATTCTCGGGGTAAGCAGCAGTATGTTGAAGCGAATATGAAAATAGAGGCGACAAAAGGTAATGTAATATAACTGTGTTCGAATGAGTGAGTGAGTATGGTTTTACGCCGCATTTTAGCAATATTCGAGCAATATCACGGCGGGGGACAGCAGAAATGGGCTTCACACATTTTACCCATGTCGGGCATCGATGTCGTGACGAGCGAACGCTTTAACCACTAGGCTACCCGACCGCCCCTGTTCGAATGAGAAGCATGAGAGTGTGTATTTCAGTCCAATCACTGCAGGCAAGCAGGTCGTTGATGTTGATGAAGGACACGAGTGTGGTGCTGATAAACCAAGGACCATAGTTTGGGCGAAACTAGGATTCGAACGTGAAACCAGTGGGTGTAGGTACGGCTGAGGGATGCAGCTTCCTCCTCATCCCAGCCCCACATTAACATGCACAGATGACACAAGGTAAACACAGTAATTCTGTCCCATGTCAATATAAATATTTTGTTCCTATTGTGATGTTTAATGCATGTTGTTCTCCCAGGGGATATGCCGCCAACATCACCTCCACCTCCCCCAACACCGCCTGCAACATCGCCGCAAAAAAACATGAAAACACCTAGCGCATGCGCAAAAGTGGGGCGCGAAGCAGACGACATCGCCATCACGAACTTTGAGCAACTGTCCTCCAGCGTGCTGGTCGCTGAGCTGAACGTGACAAGAAGGAAATCAAGGCTGGCGTGTGCTGTGGCCTGCTCCAGGAAACAACGTTGTGTGATGTTCAAGAAGCAGCCGGGCAGTCGAGAGTCGTGTTACACGTACAGTCTGTCCAGCACCGGGTCTCCTGCGGACTGTGCGGGCAGCCCGCCACCATGTTACTGGAAGTCCTGCTGGCGTCCGGAGCTGTGACGCCCGTGTCATCTCACTGGACCATATATCATGTACAACCCGTCCTGCTGATGTCCGAGCTGTGACGCCCGTGTCATCTCACTGGACCATATATAATGTACTACCTGTCCTGTTGGCGTCCGGAGCTGTGACGCCCTTGTCATCTCACTGGACCATATATAATGTACTACCTGTCCTGTTGGCGTCTGGAGCTCCGACGTCCGTGTCATCTCACTGGACCATATATTATGTTCTACCTGTCTTGCTGGCGCCCGGAGTGTTCAGCTGGTAGACTTAATGTGACATTGCTCTGAGATGACAAGCCGATAGTATTCAATATCATCATTTAATTTAACAATAAACAACAGCTGACATGTTGATCTGTGACGCCCATGTCATCTAACTACACTATATATCGTGGCATGTAGTACCTGTCCTTGGGTGGTGGGAAAGCCAAACGTTCGGTCGTCACCCGGGACCGATTCCCGACATGGGTACAATGTGCGAAGCCCATTTCTGGTGTCCCCCGCCGTGGTGTTGCTGGAATATTGCTAAAAGCGGCATAATACCATACTCGCTCACCCACTTCCTGGCCGACATCATGTCAGATGATTTGTACCTGGTCACCTTCAAAAGGAATGAACTCTACCACTGCTCAGCGCAGACTGGAACAAGTGAGTGAGTGTGGTTTTACGCCGCTTTTAGCAATATTCCAGCAATACCACGGCGGGAGACACCAGAAATGGGCTTCGCACATTGTACCCATGTCGGGAGTCGAACCCGGATCTTCGGCATGACGAGCGAACGCTTTAACCACTGGGCTACCCGACCGCCCCTGGAACAAGTGAATGAAAAGTTGCAATGCTTCTTTGGTGCTCTGTCACTATGTTTACTGCACACCAATTGAAAACCAACAGCAGAGTGGACAGCTCTGAGTGTATAATGTATGACGTTTCATTTGTGTAATGTACAATGTTGATAAACTAGAACAAACCGTCGCTGCAAGCGTGTAGAAGGACCGACGTGGGGAAGGATGGGCTTACCTTTTCGAGAACAACTGGTATCTTCAATATTCATATTGATTTATAAACTGCCGGAAACGTAGAATGTAAACTCATGCTTATGGAAAGGGTGTCTCGCTTCTATAGCTGTTTACATAGTGTAGTACCGTTGGTGCGAAACAGAATGATCTGCGTGTTTTACATAATGCAATTGAGATACGATGAAATGCATCAACCATGTGATCCTGTTACCTCGTTGGGGGCACGGGTGGCCCAGTCGTCTGAGGCGCCGCGATTCGCTGTGCGGAGCTGCGTCCCTTGGGCACGCCAGAAACCTATGATCTTGGGTTTGAATCCCGGTTCGCCCCGATTATGTTTCTAGGTTTGTCAGCACCATGGCCGTGCTCGTGGGTTTCACCGAAGTGGTAAACGTCTGAGACCTGCATCACTTCGGGCTTTCCTCCCATCTTAAGCTGACACGCCGTGATATAACTGGAATACTGTTGAAACCCAACTCACTCACTCGCGGTGACCTTGTCGGGTGTTAAAGTCACATGGAAATGGGATAATGTTCGGCAAGAGTGGTTCAGTTATTGCTTCCCAAGATGGTGTGTTATTACAGGCCGCAAAGTAGGGGTTCCTGTACACTTGACCATCCGTGGTGTAGACGAGATGAAATCCAGAGACGTTTACACACGCATCAGTACAGGGATTAACAGAGTCCGGGCAGCTTGTAACGTGGGTGAAATGCCCGAAACCAGACATTACCTGACGAAAGAAAGTTCGTGTCGTGGTTGTTTACAGCCATATCTGACAATTTGAATGTATCACCTACAACAAACCCCGTGAAGTCAGAGGGTTTGATGTAGTTCACACACAGTGGGCGTGACGTAGTTCACACACAGTAGTCTTGTTGGTTGGTTGTTGGTTTGTTGTTTAACGCCGCAGCTATATGACGGCGGTCTGTAAATAATCGAGTTTGGATCAGACAATCCTGTGATTGATATCATGAGCATCGATCCAGGCAATTGGGATCGATGACATGCATCAACCAAGTCAGCGAGTCTGACCACCCGATCCCGTCAGTCGCCTTTTACGACAAGCATAGTCGCCTTTTACGGCAAGCATGGGTTGCTGAAGACCTATTCTACCCCGGATCTTCACGGGTCCAGCCACAGCGATGCAGCTGATGTAGTTGTGCATGGAAACATCCAGGTCCTTCTATAGCATCAAGGTGACGTCGTGGCAGCAATCGCCATACAAACCGCACAGGTCATCACAAAAACATCCCATCATGTAAGTACCATCTTTTAACGTCTTTTACAGAAGATCGAACCCCGGACCTTCCGCTCTCCGGGCGGACGCTCTACCACTAGACCACGGAGGCGTTCTCTCATCTGTGAGAGTCAAGGTGATGAAGTCTGCATCAATAGTTTCCTGCTATTGTCATATAGATAGACTGCAGAGGGAAGACCGCCTCCGTGGTCTAGTGGTAGAGCGTCCGCCCGGAGAGCGGAAGGTCCGGGGTTCGATCCCCGACAGCGTCATACCAAAAGACGTTAAAAGCTGGTACTTGTTGTTACCCTGTCTTGCGCTCGGCATTAAGGGGCTAAAACAAGGACTGGTCGGCTCGGAGTCAGTATACTGTGTCTGAGTGGGGTATTCATGTTAAACTGCGGCATGGTATCTCAGTGAGCTAGCACTATAAATCGGCATCAGTCCGGACTAGTACAAGCAGCCACACACACACACACACGTGCATGCACGTCGCTATATAAGTGCAATAATCTTGGACGCGACGTTAAACCCAATTTCACCTCACCTAGACTGCAGAGGGAGTCTGCCACACTCCCTTAGTACCATCTTCATATATACATTCTTATAGAGACGAAGATGCCGTTTACAGAAGGATATTTGGACATTATCATTTAATTTGTTGTGCTATGTTCCCCAAACTTCAGCTCCGTACCACAAGATCTGAACGGCAACACCGTCAACTATTTTAAATGCATCTTGAAATGATAGGTATCCATTTATCTTTTAATAGCTGTTGATGAATCTGATTGATTTCATTGCTTGAGCTGTTGGAACTAAAGGTCTTACTCCATGAACAAATTGGGGTGAAGACTGTTCCTAAATATTTATAACAATTCACAACTTAATTTCCCCCCCCCCTTTGAAATACCTTTTCTATAGCGTTTAAATATTCCATCTAGTTGAAACACAATAATTTTAGGTGCGTTTAAATAAGCTTCCATTCCAGTGGATACACAGAAAGTTTCAAGAACATTTATATTGTTTTATAGCTTTAAAGCACTGTCCATAACAGGCGATACATCGTCTGCGTATAGTGATGCAAATAGACGTGGTGCCTCACTTCTAATTCATATGCCTTGACCACCATGTTTTATCAACATTACTGTGAGTTATTTACAAAGATTATACAAAAAGTATTGGGCTGAAAACACATCCCTGACGGGTGCCGAAATTAAAGGCGAAATAATAAGAAAGACCATCCTTCATTCGAACACATGATGTTAAGTTAGAGTCCATCGATACTTGTAATCGTAGAAAGTTCCCATTTATTCCCACTGGATTTAAGCTTTCTAAAAGGAAGTTGTATTGGACTTTCGAAAGCCTTCAAAGAAAAGTCAGTAAAGGTGCAGTAAAAGTCAGTAAAGGTGCAGTAAAAGTCAGTAAAGGTGCAGTAAAAGTCAGTAAAGGTGCAGTAAAAGTCAGTAAAGGTGCAGTAAAGGTGCAGTAAAAGTCAGTAAAGGTGCAGTAAAAGTCAGTAAAGGTGCAGTAAAAGTCAGTAAAGGTGCAGTAAAAGTCAGTAAAAGTGCAGTAAAAGTCAGTAAAGGTGCAGTAAAGGTGCAGTAAAAGTCAGTAAAGGTGCAGTAAAAGTCAGTAAAGGTGCAGTAAAAGTCAGTAAAAGTGCAGTAAAAGTGAGTAAAGGTGCAGTAAAAGTGAGTAAAGGTGCAGTAAAAGTCAGTAAAGGTGCAGTAAAAGTCAGTAAAGGTGCAGTAAAAGTCAGTAAAAGTGCAGTAAAAGTCAGTAAAGGTGCAGTAAAGGTGCAGTAAAAGTCAGTAAAGGTGCAGTAAAAGTCAGTAAAGGTGCAGTAAAAGTCAGTAAAGGTCCAGTAAAAGTCAGTAAAGGTGCAGTAAAGGTGCAGTAAAAGTCAGTAAAAGTGCAGTAAAAGTAAAACTGCAGTAAAAGTCAGTAAAAGTGCAGTAAAAGTCAGTAAAGGTGCAGTAAAGGTGCAGTAAAAGTCAGTAAAGGTGCAGTAAAAGTCAGTAAAAGTGCAGTAAAGGTGCAGTAAAAGTCAGTAAAAGTGCAGTAAAAGTAAAAGTGCAGTAAAAGTCAGTAAAAGTGCAGTAAAAGTCTGTAAAGGTGCAGTAAAGGTGCAGTAAAAGTCAGTAAAGGTGCAGTAAAAGTCAGTAAAGGTGCAGTAAAGGTGCAGTAAAAGTCAGTAAAGGTGCAGTAAAAGTCAGTAAAGGTGCAGTAAAAGTCAGTAAAGGTGCAGTAAAGGTGCAGTAAAAGTCAGTAAAGGTGCAGTAAAATCAGTAAAGGTGCAGTAAAGGTGCAGTAAAAGTCAGTAAAGGTGCAGTAAAAGTGCAGTAAAAGTCAGTAAAGGTGCAGTAAAGGTGCAGTAAAGGTGCAGTAAAGGTGCAGTAAAAGTCAGTAAAGGTGCAGTAAAAGTCAGTAAAGGTGCAGTAAAAGTCAGTAAAGGTGCAGTAAAATCTACCCTTTGAAACGTATTTCTGTACAGTCGCTTGAAGAGTAAATATTTAGTTTATGGTTGAATATCCTAGTCTAAAACCTGCTTGTGTTTCATTAAAGATATTGTTCTGTCACACCAGGACTGGAGGCGTCTGTTTCAGGGGAATATCTCTCATTGGTACGTTATGTAAGGTATTGACTTCCATTCTAGACAGACGCCCCTAGTCCTACTGTGAGAGAACACGCCGTGCTATAAGGAGAATACTGTATTCGACGTAATAAGCGCCCAGGGCGCTCTCAAAATTAGAAATAGGGGGCTCTTATTAGAATATTATTTTGGTGAAAAAAACAGAATTGAAAGCTAAATATCGTGGTTTATGCTGACAGCCTGAAATGTTTATTTACGACAGATATATGTTTCAAGAATTTAATTGCAAATAATAAAGGGTGCATATAACACACGAGTGCGTATTATACGCAAATAGGGGAGGGAGTGCGTATTATATGCGAATAGGGGTCGGAAGGGGTGCTAACTGGGATTGTTCACTAGCCAGTATATCAGCAAATCTCGCCGTGAGCGCTTATTAGAGCGGGGCGCTTATTACGTCGAATACGGTACTGTTAAAAGCGGCGTGACACACAGCTCACTCACTCATTGTGAGTAACACCAATCTCACGTTATGCCAGCGCCCTCTGTTGGCAGACTGGAGTAACAGAAGTAAACCAACCATCAGTATCATTGAAGAGTCTGCCATTCAATGTGTGTCAGAAGTACAACAGAGGTCTGCCAGCTTAAAGGGGCACTGATCTAACGGAATTCCCCGGATTGGTTGTTGCCTTTGTTATTGTTTTTTCCCCCGTGAGTACCCGGATGATACGCAACGCAACTGAGCGTGACCAGAGACTGGGCTACCGTCTGCAAGGACAGCTAAATAAACTTGGAGGCTGGAGGCAATATTTGTTTTACGCATTTTTGCATAAACACTGATTGGTTAACCGGGATCTATAAAGATTTCGACAAAGGGCGCATGTTAATTAATTTCTTCAGCCTAAACAAACAGACAAAAAGAACGGCAGAGCTCATCGGATGTCGTCATTTGGAAATACCCCAGATGGTTATAGTTTAATACTAAAAAAAAGTATCCATGCAGTGAAAGTATTTTCGGATTTCGGATTGCGTCGATAATACGATATTTACTCCCTTGTTGTCATTCACGTTTTCTCGTATAACCCCTACACTTGTGTATTTGTCGTCATTCACTTGATGCTCAGTTAATGAATTTATTACAGGTACAATTAGTGGGAGCACCACTTAGATTACCTGACAAAGGTTCCCATTTGGCATTTATTGTGTCTGGGGTAATTATTCAATCTAAATCCAGGTTTGAAGTGAGGTGAAATGTGTGTTATGTAATATGCACGTGGCAGACCAGCAAGAGGTGAATGATCAGTTCATTTACTTTTTTTTGTAAATCAACGGATCGTTCCTAGTCATCAAAGGATTAACAGAAAATACGTTGATTGATTAATCACTGTTATTTTGCACAGTGGATATGTCAAAAGTGAGTGTTTACATGTCTAGGTTTACTAAAACAAAGGGAATACACTCATATCATGGCGTGAAGTGCCGATGTAAAAACAACATACTTTGTTCAAAGGGTTAACTGATAATACGTTGATTGATTGATCATTGTTATCTATCACTTAAATGGATTTTTTAGGAACTATGGACGTTATGGAAATAGTTGTCACGTGGGCTTTCTCAGCTGCCCCTTGAGACTTGACACCTATGTGAAACACCTGAAACAATCCAAGTGATCAGTTGAGAAACGGACACGGGTTAAAATATCCCCAAACGATATATATTTTTAAAAATATGTGATTGTTACAGAGACACGTGACATCGAATAAGTTTTTTTGTACAGCTGCAGACGATTGGGATATTGTTCCTTTGTGTGGATATTCATGGATACATTCCTGGAACAAGGAAGCTGCCTAAAATTTATACACATAAATTTGGTAGGTTGTAATTATGGTATTTGCATTTTGTTTTCCTTCATTTGCTGTAACATTGAACCGATTCGTCCTTGTTTCTCTACGTCTTGGTTGGGAAATTCTTCAATGCGCGATAGACGTTGTTTTCACAGGCCTTTTCCTTTGTAAGCGTGTATATATTACCGTCAATTTGTAAAACGTGATTCTCTCAGGCAATTTGTAAAATGTGTAAATATTTCAGTCATTTTGACTAAAAGATGTGTCCAGATTGAATAAGACGATTAAAAGGGCCTACAAACATCACAACTGATTATTATATAGGATTAGAAGCCAAACAACATAGAAATGTACTTTTCAACGTAACATTTTCAGTCTCTTGGTGATGACATTAAACATCAAAATGTTTGGAATTCGTTATCATAATAATACAGATGGAAATGTTTTTCAGTCACTTTGTAAAATAACTGAATATTTAGGCGTTTAATAAATTTGAAAATGTTACACATTTTGACAGTAAAAAAATATACACACTATATAAAAGCAATGCTCAGGTGAAATATTAACTTTGTGTTGCAAGTCAAAATAGTGTAAACGAAAATCGCAAAATTACCAAGCAAGCGTCTTATCAAAACTTCGTCACCATTACCGATGCTACCCACAAAGATACCTACATTTCCTTATTATCTCGAAAACTGTATTTCATTTTGTTGATCAATGTGACCATACGCCCTTATTACTACCCATACAAGTGACTAATGCGCTTACGAATGGCGCAGCAGAGGTCGCGAACTAGTCTAGATTTCTGCTATACATCCGGGTACTCACTGGGAAAAAACAATAACAAAGGCAACAACCAGTCCCGGGGAATTGCGTTAGATCAGTGCCCCTTTAAGTCTCCGAGCAAAATAATTTTAGATTCGGGGTAGTCAGCTGTAACGGTTTCCAAGAACACACTTGAAGTGTCTATTCCATCCATATCACCGTTTCTATAACATTATAGTTCTTGAATATATATACGTTTATCTTATGTGGCATTTTTGGACATAAATCTTGTGAGCGACCAAGGTTGAAAAGCGATTGTACTCAGTGCATCTTTGTGAGAGCTAAACATGTGTTCTTATATTATGACGTAGCGCATAGGGAGACGGGAACCAGCTTGTATAGAAACGGAGACCGACTGGACTAAGTAGGATGGGACAAATAAACGAGCTGATTCGCTTACTTACTTACTTACTTATATTAGGGGATTTTACGTGCGCTTTCCGACTGGAGCGTATTTCGCACACGGGCCCGGCCGGGCCATTTAGTGATATAAAAGGGGAAGCGAGAAGAGTGCAACCAAGGAGGGGGGTTTAGTGGTTGCTTATATAAAATTTTGAAATTTTGAGATTTGGAAGACATGCCTTGGGGGAGTGGTTGGGACTAAGGGAGTGTGTGGGGGTGAGTTGTTGTTTTTAGATGTTTAGTGTTGGTGGTTTAGTGAATTTTTAGATACGGTTTATTAGGTCTGTTTTGGTTAGGTAAATGCCTAGGGCTTTGAAGTTTTCTATTTTATTTTGAGGGTTTAGGATTGCTTCTAAGGTAAGAGCTTTATTTGGATTTAGGTTGGTTTGTAATGTTGTACGGTGGGTGTGGTAGTGGGTGCAATGTAGTAGTACGTGGTCTATTGTTTCTGGGTGAGTGCAGTGTGGGCACTTCCCGTTTGCGTGTTTTTTTAGTTTTAGAAGGTGGTTATTTAGTTTGGTGTGTCCTGTTTGGAGTTTGGTGATTATTCTATCGATTTTTTTGGAGGGATGAAAGGTTGAAAAGCGATTGTACTCAGTGCATCTTTGTGAGACCTAAACATGTGCTCTTATATTATGACGTAGCGCATAGGGAGACGGGAACCAGCTTGTATAGAAACGGAGACCGACTGGACTAAGTAGGATGGGACAAATAAACGAGCTGATTCGCGTTTGCATGGCCCCTTAAATGGCTTAGATTATAAATACCGGTTCCTAGTTTGGGGCAGGTGGACGACGCGCATAGGGAGCCGGGAACCAGCTTATACATCCTCCGTGCATTAAGAGTCACATGATCTGGTCACATGATCAAGAACAACATGGCGGAGTGTTGATGCTCTTCAGGACAAGGGATACATGTCAACAGGGCGCTATTTTTATCCGTTGTAATTTACATAGATGTTAACAATGGCTTCCAGTAAGTAGAAATCTGTGTCGGTGTGAGTGGTGTTTAGTCTGATTTTAATGTCAATTAATGATAACAGTAATATTCCTAGCGACAGAATCTAGAATTGGAATGTTATTCTTACCTTGAGCAGATCATAGCATTGAACATGTGAAGAGCAAAGTTTACGTATGGGAAGTTTTACTTGTTTGTTGGAGTTGACGAGGTGGTGATAAGTTGTGCGTTAAAGGTCAAAGTCTAATGGGGCATTGAGGTCAGACCTTTTAATTTCAACTTCGTCTTGTGTAGAAATTAATTCATAAAAGTGACTAGAATGTCTGGGATGTGTAATAGAAGCTAGTGCATTATGTTTACTTTAGGAATCCATCTATCTAGCCATCATGTGGTGGCTTACGAGTTTAGTTCATAAGTCTGAAGAAAGAGGACGTAGGATGAATGAAGGTAGTCAAGAGAATAAGAGAGAGAGTACATGTATATTGATGTCAACCTCTTTATTATGAAGAACACAAGGTTTTGGAGTGTATGCATACTCTTTCATCAGGTGAATGATTCAGAGGGCAGTAAACTACAGTTATAACGAACATGCTTATAACGAACTGACAGATATGACAAACTTACTTTTTTGGTCCCGACTATTTGCTGTAGTTATGCTGTATATATGCTTATAACTACCTATGGTTATAACAAACGAAAATTAGTAGTCCCCTTGAGTTCGCTATAACCGTACTTACTGTATATGTATTAGTTATTCACACCGTTTCCTAAGTTTAGCCACAAACTCATTGACCCGCCAACCTTCCTACGGCCTGTGTGATGTATATCAGACAGTTGGGGGTTTATGTGATACCTCACTAATACCTCTAGTCCTTCATCTCCTGGCTTTGCTGGGTCAACTACATTCCTAATTGATGTATAAATTTTACTGCCAGCCACTCAGCACGATTGCCTTTTTCTTCTTTTCGTCCATTATCTCATTCACTTCAAAGTAATGTTCCCAACATTCAGTGTTCCGGGACTATTCTTCATGCTGATCAACACAGTCCGATGTCACCCTCACTTGATCTGAGATGACTTTACTTCTACTTACATCCTTGTCACCAATATATGGGGGGCCCAGTTGTCTAAGGGGCCGCATTTTTGCTGTGCAGTTGTGTCCCTTGGGCACGCAAGAAACCTGTGATTGTGGGTTCGAATCGCCCCGATTATGTTTCTAGGTTTGTCAGCACCATACCCGTGCTCGTGGGTTTCACCGAAGTGGTAAATGTCTGAGACCTGCATCACTTCTGGCTTTCCACCCACATTAAGCTGACACGCTGCGATATAACTGGAATACTGTTAAAAGTGGCATTAAACCCAATTAACTCTTACTCACTCATTGCCAATTTGTAATATACAACCCTTCATAGTTTCCACAACTCAGTAAAATAAACATATAGTCACATTGGGCAGAAGCAAATGACAACAAAAAGCTGTTGGTAAGGTTCAGTCATTTGCTGATGATGGCGTGATCCACAGACATTGATACGTAACACGTGACACAGTTCACACACAGAGGGTGTGACGTAGTTCACACACAGTGGGCGTGACGTAGTTCACACACAGTGGGCGTGACGTTGTTGACACACAGTGGGCGTGACGTAGTTCACACACAGTGGGCGTGACGTTGTTGACACACAGTAGGCGTGACGTAGTTCACACACAGTGGGCGTGACGTAGTTCACACACAGAGGGTTTGACGTAGTTTACACAAAGAGGGTGTGACGTAGTTCACACACAGTAGGCGTGACGTAGTTCACACACAGTGGGCATGACGTTGTTCACACACAGAGGGTTTGACGTAGTTCACACACAGTAGGCGTGACGTAGTTCACACACAGTGGGCATGACGTTGTTCACACACAGAGGGTTTGACGTAGTTCACACACAGTGGGCGTGACACTGCTGTAATGTAAACAAAAACCACATGCTTCTACCATGTCTACAGCACCCAGTAGCATGCAGTAATAATATTCTACAGTTACCATGGTTACAGTCAGTTACACACTTGAATATGGCTGCCGAATGACGTGGCTAGTAACTCGTCTCTATATATAGGAGAGACAGAGCTATGACAAGGGTATTTGGATATACATGTATATACATTTGGAATTCAAACATTTTATGAAATTCAGTAACTCAGAATTTCACATTGAATTTTGTTATTGGAAATGTTTAACAAAGGATAACAGTAAAATAGTGAAGCAAAGACCTTTAGCTCATCAATAATTTCATTCCAGCTGTTACAGGTCTAGTGAAAATACTCAAGTTATTGCAAATTATCACCAGGGGGTCGGCCATTGATTGAAAGTCGATTAATGATACTTTTTAATATGTTTCTTGGTGCCAAAAAGTCTAGAAATTTCTTGATACTCTTGGTATGCAAGATTGACCAGATGGTTAGTCAGGAAAACATGTTAGTATTATTTGAATCTCAACCATACTCTTGTGATAGAGTTATACTCTCGAAACCTACATGGAAAAATCTCAACTGAAAATCTGAAGAACAAGAGTTTCTGGCATAACTCATGACTCCATGGCAGATGTATTTATATGCATCAGGATCAAGAGAGTTGGCATGTAGTGGAAAATGAGTTTGCCAGGGCCAGTACCTGCCATGGGTGTGACATGAGTTTGCCAGGGCCAGTACCTGCCATGGGTGTGACATGAGTTTGCCAGGGCCAGTACCTGCCATGGGTGTGACATGAGTTTGCCAGGGCCAGTACCTGCCAGGGGTGAGACATGAGTTTGCCAGGGCCAGTACCTGCCATGGGTGTGACATGAGTTTGCCAGGGCCAGTACCTGCCATGTGTGTGACATGGGTTGACATGTACTGGACATGAGTTTGCCAGGGCCAGAGTGAGTGAGTGAGTGAGTTGGCTTTAAACCGCTTTTAACAGTATTCCAGTTATATCACGGCGTGTCAGCTTAATGTGGGAGAAAAGCCCGAAGTGATGCAGGTCTGAGACGGTTACCACTTCGGTGAAACCCACGGGTATGGTGCTGACAAACCTAGAAACATAATCGGGTTAACCGGGATTCGAACCAACAATCATAGGTTTCTGGCGTGCCTAAGGGACGCAACTTTGCACAGCGAATTGCGGCGCCTTAGACGACTGGGCCATCCGTGCCCCCTGCCAGGGCCAGAACCTGCCATGGGTGTGACATGAGTTGGCTTGTATCAACTACTTACCATGTACTAGGAAAAGAGCAGAATAGTTTGAGGTTTTATACGATTACTGATATTTGTATGTGATGTATTTGCAGAATTCCGCCTTGCCCTCGTACAACTTGCAGTTGGGGTGTCCAAGTCAGACAATCTGGCCAGGGCAGCCAAACTCATCAAGGAAGCTGCAAGTGGTGGAGCAAGGGTTGTTGCGCTACCGGTAAGATTCTGTCAGTGGTGGAGCAAGGGTTGTGGCACTACCAGTAAGATTCAGTCAGTGGTGGAGCAAGGGTTGTGACATTACCGGTAAGATTCAGTCAGTGGTGGAGCAAGGGTTGTGGCACTACCGGTAAGATTCAGTCAGTGGTGGAGCAAGGGTTGTGGCACTACCGGTAAGATTCAGTCAGTGGTGGAGCAAGGGTTGTGGCACTCTCGGTAAGATTCAGTCACTGGTGGAGCAAGGATTGTTGCGCTACCGGTAAGATTCAGTCAGTGGTGGAGCAAGGGTTGTGGCACTCCCGGTAAGATTCAGTCAGTGGTGGAACAAGGGTTGTGGCACTACCGGTAAGATTCAGTCAGTGGTGGAGCAAGGGTTGTGGCACTCCCGGTAAGATTCAGTCAGTGGTGGAGCAAGGGTTGTGGCACTCTCGGTAAGATTCAGTCAGTGGTGGAGCAAGGGTTGTGGCACTACCAGTAAGATTCAGTCATTGGTAGAGCAAGGGTTGTGGTGCTACCGGTAAGATTCAGTCAGTGGTGGAGCAAGGGTTGTGGCACTCCCGGTAAGATTCAGTCAGTGGTGGAGCAAGGGTTGTGGCACTACCGGTAAGATTCAGTCAGTGGTGGAGCAAGGGTTGTGGCACTACCGGTAAGATTCAGTCAGTGGTGGAGCAAGGGTTGTGGCACTCTCGGTAAGATTCAGTCACTGGTGGAGCAAGGATTGTTGCGCTACCGGTAAGATTCAGTCAGTGGTGGAGCAAGGGTTGTGGCACTCCCGGTAAGATTCAGTCAGTGGTGGAACAAGGGTTGTGGCACTCTCGGTAAGATTCAGTCAGTGGTAGAGCAAGGGTTGTGGCACTACCGGTAAGATTCAGTCAGTGGTGGAGCAAGGGTTGTGGCACTACCGGTAAGATTCAGTCAGTGGTGGAGCAAGGGTTGTGGCACATGTAAGATTCAGTCAGTGGTTGAGCAAGGGTTGTGACATTACCGGTAAGATTCAGTCAGTGGTGGAGCAAGGGTTGTGCCACTACCGGTAAGATTCAGTCAGTGGTGGAGCAAGGGTTGTGGCACTACCAGTAAGATTCAGTCAGTGGTGGAGCAAGGGTTGTGACATTACCGGTAAGATTCAGTCAGGGGTGGAGCAAGGGTTGTGGCACTACCGGTAAGATTCAGTCAGTGGTGGAGCAAGGGTTGTGACATTACCGGTAAGATTCAGTCACTGGTGGAGCAAGGGTTGTGACACTCCCGGTAAGATTCAGTCACTGGTGGAGCAAGGGTTGTGACACTCCCGGTAAGATTCAGTCAGTGGTGGAGCAAGGGTTGTGGCACTACCGGTAAGATTCAGTCAGTGGTGGAGCAAGGGTTGTGACATTACCGGTAAGATTCAGTCACTGGTGGAGCAAGGGTTGTGGCACTCCCGGTAAGATTCAGTCAGTGGTGGAGCAAGGGTTGTGACACTCCCGGTAAGATTCAGTCAGTGGTGGAGCAAGGGTTGTGGCACTCCCGGTAAGATTCAGTCACTGGTGGAGCAAGGGTTGTGGCACTCCCGGTAAGATTCAGTCAGTGGTGGAGCAAGGGTTGTGGCACTACCGGTAAGATTCAGTCAGTGGTGGAGCAAGGGTTGTGGCACTACCGGTAAGATTCAGTCAGTACCCTTGATCCATGTTATTTTACTGTGCATAGATGTGACTGATGTTAGTTTGGAGTATCTTATTATGTAGAAGTGAATGAAGCAGTGGATATTGTTTCTGTTTCCACTAGGAATGTTTCAACTCCCCGTACGGCACCAAGTATTTCCCCGAGTACGCCGAGGCAATCCCCGGACCCTCCACTGATGCCTTGTCTAAAGCAGCCAAGGAAAACAACGTCTTTGTGGTGGGAGGTGAGGCACATGTTATTTCATTGTTTTATTCACAATTTACAGATGAAAAATAGAGTACCTCTTAATTCATTTTCAGTGGATCCGTTTGCATTCCAGTTTTATCATTCTCAACTCTCTGGGGAGTATACAACCCAAGCTAGGGGCGCTAGGTTTTAACATGTATGGCAGTATAATAGTATATTGGACATGTATGGCAGTATTATAGTATATTGGACATGTATGGCAGTATTATAGTATATTGGAGATACATGGCAGTATTATAGTATTTTGGACATGTATGGCAGTATTATAGTACTTTGGAGATACATGGCAGTATTATAGTACTTTGGACATGTATGGCAGTATTATAGTACTTTCGAGATACATGGCAGTATTATAGAGCATTGGACATGTATGGAAGTATTATAAGTACTTTGGAGATTCATGGCAGTATTATAGTAGTTTGGAGATACATGGGAGTATTATAAGTACTTTGGACATGTATGGCAGTATTATTAGTACTCTTGACAAGTGTTATGAGTATTTCATTTCCTAATGACATGGTAACAGATGTGTCACCTGCAGCAGTTGTTCTTACAGAGACTGGTTCCTGGCAGGCCATGAGTTAGGCCATCTTTATTATTGTTGAGAGAGTTTGTGGTATATGTGGTGTTACTTTGCTGCTTGAAATTTGATACAGTGTTTCTATTGGCCAGGTTCAATCCCCGAGGAAGAGAACGGCAACTACTACAACACTTGCACTGTGTATAACCCCGAGGGATCACTCATAGCTAAACATAGAAAGGTGAGGTGAGAGTCAGGGATCACTCCATGAACAAGTATTGGTCCCCTTAATACTTAACAGGTAATGAAAGGTTCCCCCAAATACTGAACATGTAACTTAGAGATCATGTGGTCAGGTGGATAGATGATGTGACCAGATGGGGAGATCATGTGACCATATGGTGAGATCATGTGACCAGATGGTGAGATCATGTGACCAGATGGTGAGATCATGTGACCAGATGGTGAGATCATGTGGTCAAATGGAGATGTCATGTGACCATCTGGTCAGATGGAGAGATCATGTGACAAGATGGTGAGATCTTGTGACCAGATGGTGAGATCATGTGACCAGATGGTGAGATCATGTGGTCAAATGGAGATGTCATGTGACCATCTGGTCAGATGGAGAGATCATGTGACAAGATGGTGAGATCTGGTGACCATATGGTAAGATCATGTGACCAGATGGTGAGATCATGTGACCAGATGGTGAGATCATGTGACCAGATGGTGAGATGTGGTCAAATGGAGATGTCATGTGACCATCTGGTCAGATGGAGAGATCATGTGACCAGATGGTGAGATCATGTGTCCAGATGGTGAGATCATGTGACCAGATGGTGAGATCATGTGACCAGATGGTGAGATCATGTGGTCAAATAGAGATGTCATGTGACCATCTGGTCAGATGGAGAGATCATGTGACCAGATGGTGAGATCATGTGACCATATGGTGAGATCATGATGGAATCAAGAATGAAATCTCTGTTGATGGATGGACCATGAAGACTGAGATTTCTTGTTTTCATTCCCAGGTTCATCTGTTTGATATTGACGTCCCCGGCAAAATCACCTTCCAAGAATCTGAAGTCCTGTCTCCCGGCAACCAGCTGACGTTCTTCAATACACGTATGTGCAATATGTGCTTCTCAGTTGCCTCCCTTTGGCATAGCTCTGTCCAACCTTTTGACCTGTTGAACTGCTACATGCATGAGTCTAGCAGACCTAAATGTTGCCTACAAAAAGGAAAACTTCACTTGCTGTTATGTGTTGGTTTGGGTAGGAGTTTCTGACCCTTTTCAAGAATGATTTTGGTATGTTTAGAAATTGGACTTAAAGTCAAATTTAAACATACTTTCTTGGAATTCTTTCCACCTGCATCTTTGGATGTTGATGATAAAATATGTCAACAAAAAAATGAGTAGTTTGGCTTATTGTCAATTTTCATGGACTTTCCCTCTAATTACACATGTGGTTAATATCATGGCACTTTGAATTCTGGTGCGTGGTGTCACAGAACTCGATAACTTTTTGAGCAATTGACTTTTTACTCAAAGGTTTGTATTTTAATTGGGTCATTACATTTTACATATTTTTTTACTCATCTATTTATCACTCTGTTGGGTTTTCCCAAAATGAGTAAACATTTGGAGATTTAGAAAAAAATGAAATAATGTTTTAAATGTATATAACGGTTCTAGATATAGGCTTGACTCGGAAAGTAAATTAGCTTGTAATTGTGTTTCAGAAATTAGCTCTGTTGTACACATGCTGAAAAAGCTTAATTGGGTATTAACACGTGCTGTTTTCAAACAATTGAGTTTTTCATTTAATGCATGCATTTCTGTACGCAAGTTAATTGAAAGTAATTGGGTTTTGAATAGTTTTGGGGGGTATTTTACGCAAATACGCTGCTTATCTGTTGCTCTGTGTCTCAGATCAGCTGGTATTCAATTTACATATACAGTTAACCTGACTTATCTAGTTGGACACTGTGTTAAAACAAGAATACGCTTTCTCAAACGATGGCCAAGACAAAAGTCAAACATTTTCATATGTTGTTTAATATACGTTATCCACCATCCCTGTCCATCATGTTTTCACAAGAACTGTTTTGTTATCATGTCTTCATCAAAACATGGGGGCACGGGTGGCCCAGTCGTCTAAGGCGCCGTTTAAGAATCCCGTTTCTCCCCAATTATGTTTCTAGGTTTGTCAGCACCATACCCGTGCTCGTGGGTTTCACTGAAGTAGTAAACGTCTGAGACCTGCATCACTTCGGGCTTTCCTCCCACATTAAGCTGACACGCCGTGATATAACTGGACCACTGTTGAAAGCGGCGTTAAACCCAACTCACTCACTCACTCACTCATCAAAACATTATACAAATGTAATGCAACTTCTTAATTTGGGAGAGAACACATTTATTTTTTGCAGCTTTCTGTAAGATCGGGCTGGGGATCTGCTACGATATCCGTTTCCCTGAGATGGCCTTGCTGTATGCCCAGAGAGGTATGTTGGCATTTATCCTTTGTAAGTAAACAATAGTATTTCTTAATATAAAACATACAGTTAAGTCCTTTCAATTACAAATTTGTCGTAAGGGAGACTAACGGGATCGGGTGGTCAGGCTCACTGACTTGGTTGATGCATGTCATCGTATCCCAATTGCGTGGATTGATGCTCGTGATGTCAATCACTGAACTTTCTGGAGGACAGGTGGTGGGGATTCAAAATTGTACAAATGGTGGGGCTGACCCCCCAAGGGGATGAGGGGCGGGGCCAAATAGGGGTAATTTGGCTATATTGTTTTAAAAGACTTCTTCTCTGGAACTAAGAGATAGATGTCAACCATATTTGGTTGGAAGCGTTCTCCGGTGGTGAGAATTCAAAATTGTACAAAAGGAAGGACTGCCCCCCCCAAGGGGAAAGAGGAAATGGTTCAGATCTTTATGCTACATTTGTATCTGGAGAAATACAAGTTCATGCTGTCAGATTTGCCATCCACACATTTTAAATGCTGACAGAGTCAAATGTACGAAATATTTGCAGTATTATATACATGTACAATGCAGATGTATATTTTGTCATGATTTCGTAAATATCAAGGTGAGCGATACAGGCCCTATGGGCTTCTTGTTTACAGACTGCCATCATATAGATGGAATATTGCTGAGTGTGGCGTTAAACAACAAACAAAAACAAACAAACAAACACGCAATGTGTATGCAATTATTGTGTGTATGCTTTAGCTGTTCAGAAGTGTGTAACTTCTGATTTTGCTTTTAATACCATTTTTTTTACATAAATTCCCCTCTCCTTGAACTGTTGAACAGTAAATACATCACAATGAATTGATATACAATTGCCAAGCATGACACCCCTTGTCATCTGAAACAGGCTTACAAGGGAGATATAGCCTAGGTTAGGTCACACAATATCTCCTACAATCCCTTCTAGTATAAAGTGCAGCAATGAAATGGCACCACAATGCTTTGCGACCCGTGAAGATTCCGGGGTAGAATAGGTCTTCAGCAACCCATACTTGCCTAAAAGGCGACTATGCTTGTCGTAAAAGGCAACTAACAGGATCGGGTGGTCAGGCTGGCTGACTTGGTTGATGCATGTCATTGATCCCAATTGCGTGGATCGATGCTCATGATATCAATCACTGGATTGTCTGGTCCAGACTTGATTATTTTACAGACCGCCATCATATAGCTGGTATATTGCTGAGTGCGGTGTTAATAACAAACAAAGAAACAAAACAATGCTTTGCAGGTCATTGTGACATCATCGGTTACCATGACGTCACAATCAAATGACATCACTAGGCCACTGAAGCTAGTTAGCTGTATTTTTTACACATACGGTACTGCTTGTTATTGATTACAAACTGAAAAAATTGGAAGAATGATTTTGGATGAAAAATAGAATCCCACGCTTGTGTCTATTCTCGGATGTAGATTTCCCAGCAGTGTTGTAAGAGCTGACTGCTGAGTATCAGCTGGTTACAGTGGGGGACCTGTCTGGCAGTGTGTGGTCGAGTCCCAGCAGTGTTGTAAGAGATGTCTGCTGAGTATCAGCTGGTTACAGTGGGGGACCTGCCTGGCAGTGTGTGGTCGTGTCCCAGCAGTGTTGTAAGAGCTGACTGCTGAGTATCAGCTGGTTACAGTGGGGGACCTGCCTGGCAGTGTGTGGTCGAGTCCCAGCAGTGTTGTGAGAGCTGACTGTTGAGTATCAGCTGGTTACAGTGGGGGACCTGCCTGGCAGTGTGTGGTCGAGTCCCAGCAGTGTTGTAAGAGCTGACTGTTGAGTATCAGCTGGTTACAGTGGGGGACCTGCCTGGCAGTGTGTGGTCGAGTCCCAGCAGTGTTGTGAGAGCTGACTGTTGAGTATCAGCTGGTTACAGTGGGTGACCTGCCTGGTAGTGTGTGGTCGAGTCCCAGCAGCGTGCTCATGCTGTCAACCACTAGTTTGCCTGTCCAGATGTGATAACTTACTGCTGTTGAAGGAGTTTGTTTGTTTGTTGTTTAATGCCGCACTGAGCAATATTCCAGTGGTCAGTAAATAATTGAGTCTGGACCAGGCAATCCAGTGATTGACTTCATGAGCATAGATCTACACAATTGGGATACAATGCGATGCATCAACCTACTCAGCGAGTCTGACCCCTTGATCCTGTTAGTCGCCTCGTACGACAAGCATAATTGCATTTTTACGGCTACGTATTATCTTGTGGAATTGAGAAGAAATAGCTTTGATGACTGGCAGCATCAATTGTGTGTTGTAATCAACATTGTAATCTGTGTTGTAATCCGTATTGTAATGCATGTCATAATCCATGTCCTAATCCAAGTTGTAATCTGTGTTGTAATCTACGCTGTAATCTGCATTGTAATCCATGTCATAATCCGTGTTGTAATCTGAGTTTTAATCCATGTCATAATCCGTGTTGTAATCCATGTCGTAATCCGTGTTGTAATCTGTGTTGTAATCCATGTCGTAATCCGTGTTATAATCTGTGTTGTAATCTACGCTGTAATCTACACTGTAATCTGCATTGTAATCCATGTCATAATCTGTGTGGTAATCTATGTTGTAATCTGTGTTGTAATCCATGTCGTAATCCGTGTTATAATCTGTGTTGTAATCTACGCTGTAATCTACACTGTAATCTGCATTGTAATCCATGTCATAATCTGTGTAGTAATCAGTGTTGTAATCTGTGTTGTTATCTGCATAGTAATCTGTGTTGTAATCCATGTCGTGATCCGTGTTGTAATCTATGTTATTATCCGCATTAAAATCCGTGTTGTAATCCGTGTTGTAATCTGTGTTGTAATCCATGTTGTAATCCGTGTTGTAATCTATGTTATTATCCGCGTTGTAATCCGTGTGGTAATCCATGTCATAATCCGTGTTGTAATCTGCATAGTAATCCGTGTTGTAATCTGCGTTATAATCTGTGTTGTAATCCATGTCTTAATCCATGTTATTATCCGTGTTGTAATCTGTGTTGTAATCTGCATAGTAATCTGCATTGTAATCCCAGTTGTAATCCATGTTGTAATCCGTGTTGTAATCTGCATAGTAATCCGTGTTGTAATCTGTGTTGTAATCTGCGTTGTAATCTGTGTTGTAATCTGCATAGTAATCTGTGTTGTAATCTGTGTTTTAATCTGCGTTGTAATCCCAGGCTGCAAGTTGCTGCTCTACCCTGGGGCCTTCAACATGACCACCGGCCCCGCCCACTGGGAGTTGCTTCAGAGGGGACGTGCCCTTGACAACCAGTTATACGTCGCCACCATCTCTCCAGCCAGGGATGACAAGGCGTCGTACGTCGCCTGGGGTCACAGCAGCGTCGTCAGTCCTTGGTGAGTGTCGGGATTTACAGGGCTTTGAACAGTGTTTCAGTTATGTTATTACAAGTCAGTTAAAGGGGGACTCTGCTTGAAGCAGGTTGTGTTTAGACATTGAGGTTGTGTTTAGATATTGAGGTTGTGTTGTATGTGTCAGGGTTGAGGTTGTTTTTCAAATATTGAAGTTGTGTTGAGGTATTGAGGTTGTGATCAGATATTGAGATTGTGTTTAGATATTGAGATTGTGTTTAGACATTGAGGTTGTGTTAAGATATTGAGGTTGTGTTGTATGTTTCAGGGGTGAGGTTGTTTTCAAATATTGAGCTTGTGTTGAGGTATTGGGGTTGTGTTTACAAATTGAGGTTGTGTTTAGATATTGAGGTTGTGTTTAGACATTGAGGTTGTGTTGAGACATTGAGGTTGTGTTGAGATATTGAGGTTGTAATGTATGTTTCAGGGGTGAGGTTGTGGCTACTACTGAGCACCAGGAGGCAGTGGTCTACGCAGAAATAGGTACTGTAGCTCCCCTGCTGGATACCTCACTCAGACAGATGGGAGTCTGTACAAATACAAAACTACAGCAAACTACCGGTGTAACAAATGCCAATTGATTGCAAAGTTAAAATATTTTAGCAGAAATTTTGTCATTACAAAAAAAGTGACCATCATTTCAAAAGTAAGGGTTTTCAAGAGGTCCAAGCATCTATCCGAGGATGGAGAGTTAACTGACTATAAATGTCCAGTTTCCACCCTAGCTGAACTAGCCTGGAATTGTGGAATAATATTTTGGCTTGACTAACGAGCCTGTGCATATTCCGATCAAATCACGTAACAAAACTGACATCAGGTTCGTAAACTGGCGTGCAGATTTCGGTTGATTGCAGGGTTTGCAAAGCATGTGTACCATCAGATATTTTCCAAGTCTTTTCACGTTTATAATCAAAGTGCTCACGTGATTATTACAATATACATGATATAGATCTTGATTATCGATCAGAAGGTCTTCACTGGGGGCCGCCATTTCATTTGAAGCAAATGCAAGTGATATAAGAGATGGAATCTGATTGGTCAATAGGAGGGACATAGAAGGGATATAAATCGTAATAGCCACTGGAGGCGCTATGATCAAGCCCAGAAACTTCAGCACAGTTCGGCAAGGGTGGAAACTGGACTTTTCAAGTCGGTTAACTCCCTTGCCTCAGGAAGATGGGGTCCATGAGACCCCTATATGAACTCTTAGAAAGTTTGGATCCTGGATTTCCTCCTGTGTTTCAGATGTGGACTATGCGATGGAGGTACGGCAGCAGATCCCCGTGCACAGTCAGAAGAGGGAGGACATGTACAGGGTGGAAGATCTCTCCGACCTGGATGGGGTGGAATAAATCTGTGTATCACACAGCAGGGGGTGGAATATATCTCTCTCTCAGGCAGCACATCTCATTATCTGTTGAGGGTTGGGGATGGACTGACGTGTCATGATACATTGTCAAACAACTGTTGTATTGTAGGCTAGTGTGTCATGGCTGTGTTATGGAAGGGGGTAGGGGTTTGAGATAGATTTACTGATGAATGTAGTGACATTCTTTGCTGTGTGTTTTGTATCTTCAACTGAAGCATTCATTGTACAAGGACAGTGATTACCGTATTTCCTCTATTAGACGCCGGGCCTCTAATAGACGCTGGCCTCTAATAGAAGGCGGGTCAGTTGTTCAGTGCAAAAAATAGAAGCCGGGCATCTAATAGACGCCAAGTCGATCAATTGATACAATTTATGATCCCTTTCATAGTGAAATGGGGGTATTAATAGAAGCCGGGCCTCTAATAGACGCCGAGTCGATCAATTGATACAATTTATGATCCCTTTCATAGTGAAATGGGGGTATTAATAGAAGCCGGGCCTCTAACTGACGCCGGGTCAAAGGCTTGTCCGAAATAAATAGAAGCCCGGGCGTCTAATAGAGGAAATACGGTACACTGTTACTCAGAATACAGGTGGCATGTATGCAGAAGGTCTTTCACTTATACTGAATGAACAAGATGTTTTAAATCTTGATGATAAATATAACATGTTCTTTTGATATTTCAAGGTTTTGATTTTTAGATTAACTTATGCACAAGAGGTCTACTTGTGGTGTTGTGTCAGACTGAAGTACATGAGTCAGGCTGGCAGCTGAAGTGTATTAAGTGGGGGGAGGTGGGTTGGGGGGAGAAGGGTGGGGTTGCCATTGGTTTGGTTTGTGGCGAGGTGGAGTGGGGTTAGGTAGGGTTGAAGTGAGGGAGAGTTGCATTGAGGTGAGGTAGGGTGAGGTAGAGTTGTGGTGGGCTAGGGTGAAGTCGGGTTGTGTTGAGGTGGGATAGGGTGAGGTAGAGTTGTGGTGGGGTAGGGTGAGGTCGGGTTGTGTTGAGGTGGGGTAGGGTGAGGTAGAGTTGTGAGGGGGTAGGGTGAGGTAGAGTTGTGAGGGGGTAGGGTGAGGTCGGGTTGTGTTGTGGTGGGGTAGGGTGAGGTAGAGTTGTGGTGGGGTAGGGTGAGGTAGAGTTGTGGTGGGGTAGGGTGAGGTCGGGTTGTGTTGAGGTGGGTAGGGTGAGGTAGAGTTGTGGTGGGGTAGGGTGAGGTAGAGTTGTGGTGGGGTAGGGTGAGGTCTGGTTGTGTTGAGGTAGGGTAGGTTGAGGTAGAGTTGTGGTGGGGTAGGGTGAGGTAGAGTTGTGGTGGGGTAGGGTGAGGTCTGGTTGTGTTGAGGTAGGGTAGGGTGAGGTAGAGTTGTGGTGGGGTAGGATAGGGTGAGGTAGAGTTGTGGTGGGATAGGGTGAGGTCGGGTTGTGTTTGGGTGGGGTAGGGTGAGGTAGAATTGTGGTGGGGTAGGGTGAGGTAGGGTTATGGTGGGGTGGGTTAGAGGTGAGGTGGGGTTGGGTGAGGTCTGTTTTTATGTAGGATATGTCACAGATCCAGTAACATGATTTCATGTTTGATTGTTTCTAATGTTTGTCATTTTGTGAATTTTTGTGAATGATTGCATATTACTTTGCATGTTATCAATCCTAAAACTACATGTGGTGATTACATCTGAATGTAGACGGAAGATTTTCTTTTTTTTCATTCTCAGTTACTTATCATGTCATTGTCCACTTCTGTGTTTGGTGAGCCCACTTTCAGTATTACCCGATAGGTTGACAAACCCTTGGCCACAACCCTTCATGGAGTTGCATGCATGTTAGATTTGCCAACAAATTCGTATGTAGCCAGCAGGGCTTGCCCCTTTCAAAAGTTACTCGCCCTAAACTAAATGTTGGAGGCCGCAATTGAGTTGCCCAGGTGCTCAAATTCTTTAGAACTCCTCAACCCTAAAACGTCATTTCCTGCACTTTGAGTTTAATCCTGGCTTCCATTTCAATTTCAAGTCCTTTCCAACTACTGTATTCAACGTAATAGACGCCCCGCTCCAATAAGTGCCAACGGCGATATTTGCTAGTATATTGGCTGGTGAACAATCCCAGTTTGCACCCCTTCCTATTGATCAATGTACACAAGACTATAATATGCACTTGTGTGTTATATGCATCCTTAATTATGGGCAATTAAATTCTGGAAAATATATCTGTCGTGTATAAATGCGCAGAGACTTTTCTTTGTATCATTTCAGGCTTTCAGCACAAACCACGGAATTTACGATCTTTCAACTGTTTTTTCTCTCACCAAAATTATATTCTGATAAGAGCCCCCTATTTCTAATTTTGAAAGGCACAGTGGGAGCTTATTACGTCGAATACGGTATCATGTAGTTGGTGTTGTAAGTCAGTCGTAAGCCTTTTCCCAAGTCACTGTGATGGCATTCTGAAAGCCAAGGCCTACAGAAATATACAATCACTACATTTGGGGATACAGGGCAAAGTTCAAGATTTTTGTAATGGCCACTTGTACACTGGTGGCAGCAATGATACCGGGAGGGTCATGAAGGTGTCACACCCTGGGAAGGAGCTGAATGCTGTTTGATGAATTATGATAACTCTTCCAGATCTGCCGTCTTCCAAATTCAACTTGTTTTACACCCGTGCTGGATGTCAAACTGATTTGTCGGGGGGCGTAGGGATTTTCCAACTCTTCTGTCTTTGTGTGCAATATATCTTTTCCATAACTGAGATTGTAGATTGCTGTGACATTGAATAGTGACGTGCTCTTATGAAAATAAATGAAGCCTTATGGCTACTGTGGCCTTTCAGCTGGTGCTTACAACTCACTGCGGGTGTTTGCTTGATTATCTTTCAGTCATGCGAGTCAGGGCTATCTGCTGGTGTGTTTTTGTGTACATTGCAATCTCATTAAAATCAGATCTAAGTTCTCGCTTCCGCTAAACAAAGATCTGAGGACATCCAATTACGGGTCACGTCAGAACAACCTTTTGCGAACTTTGACCGACCACTGAAACGAATAACAAGAAGTCGATATCAGCCAATGAGAAAGCAGCTTTCTTAAGCTCTATGGCACTCGTTTCAACCGACTTTCAAACGAACATTCCAGAATGTCTAATTAAGGTTGCGATTGTATGGCAGTGCTTCCCACGTACTGTGCAACGCCTCCTCCATTCAAATGTTTATCTCACGGAAGCGAGAAATAGACGATAATTCTGACGGAATCAGTCGTACGGGCCGTAACTGTCGTTCGGAATGCCCTGTTTTAACGTTTTCGAGGTAGCATGATTAGAAAACACATTCCAACTGTCACTTTCATGATCTGGTTAACGATGCTTTGATTGATCAGATGAAAGGTAGTTCTGACGTAACCTGTGATGGGATGTTCTCATTTTAATGAGATTGTGAACATGGTGAACACTATATCACTTGAAATCTCATTGCAATCAGATCCTTCACTCTCTTCGTGAAGATCGGAGGACATCTCTGTGGGTGGGTGTGAGAGGTGAACCCAGTCAATGTTTGCCAGCCCAGTCTAAAACATGGGTCTGTTCTTGACCCACTCAGATGTCAACCATATCAAAGGATTGTGTTTCATTTCTTTACCACCTGGATTCTGAAATTCTGATTTGCACTATCCATCCAGATTGTCCACACACAACACAACCTTTGTATTCTCTTTTAGGCGTAGAAGCCATGGGCCTGGAAACCACAGGGTGTATATGTCCCGGGGATGAAATTCTCTAGTGTCAGGATGATTCTCCCTAGTGCATTGAGAACCCATACCAGTGTGTTTAATCCTATCCTATACTATACTCTAGAGTAAAACCTCGTCATACAACTGCCTATGTAGGTGTCCTCTGATATCCACACACTGGAGTAAAATCAATCTCATTAAAATCAGACCTAAGTTCTCGCTACAGCTAAACAAAGAACTGAAGACATCCCATTAGGGGTCACGTCAGAACGATTTTTCATCCGACCGATCAGTGCGTCGCTTACCAGATTATGAAAGTGACAGTCGGAATGTGAAAACTTTAACATGGGGTATTCCGAACGATAGTTACGGGTTTAACGACTGAATCCTTACAATCTGGACCATCTATTAGCCATTCCAGAATGTTTTTTTGTTCAGGTTTCAAATTTGTAATCGAGAATTTGTCAAAATATGTTTTGAAGCGTAGTCGCCAATTTGAAATTTTTGCTGTAAAGCACAAGAAAGTTGCCTTCTGATAGGTCATTCCATTGGTCGGTCAAAGTTTGCGCAAGGTCGATCTGACATGACCTGTAATGGGATGTCCTCAGATCTTTGTTTAGGTGTAGCGAGAACTTAGATCGGATTTTAATGAGATTGGAGTAAAAGGAGTATGTGGGGAAAATTATAGTAGTAAATCACCTGATTTTTATGAGATTGCTTCTCTTGTTGTTGAGATTAATATTTAGAAAATTTGGGAGAAACTTGTTACCCTTTACTATTACCTGTACAATTCTCCCAATGATTTAGGGTCAGTGTGTCGGACATGTCGACTGCAGTACCAGTGGTGCAGCTGTGTGATGTGTGTTGACACAAATAAACTTGGATCACAATTCGACCTTACCCTGTCATTGAACTCGGAAGAAACATGAGACCTTGATAACTCGCAGACCTGTTTCACAAAGCAATCTTAGCACAGTGAGTGAGTGAGTGAGTGAGTGAGTGAGGTTTTATTTTAACCCTCTTAGTTGTATTTCAGTCAAATCACGGATAGGGTGGTGGTGGGATGTACCACTCAAATATCTGAATACAGGAAAATTGTTTCAATGAGAAAAAAGTCGAGTCTGGCCAACAACCTAATGAGTGAGTGAGTGAGTTGGGTTTAATGTCGCTTTGAACAGTGTTCCAGTGATATCACCGCAAATCAGCTTAACGTGGGAGAAAAACCCGTCGTGATGCAGGTCTTAGATGTTTACCACTTTTATGAAACCCACGAGCATGGTTATGGTGCTGACAAAACCTGGAAACAATCGGCTGAAACGGGATTTGAACCCACAACAACTGGTTCCTGGCGTGCCCAAGGGACACAACACTACTGATTGCAGCACTTCAGACGATTGGGCCACACCTCCCTTCACTAATGAAGACATGAACCTGTTTACATTCACCTTAGGAGGTGAAATTGGGTTTAATGTTGCGTCCAAGATTATTGCACTTATATATCGACGTGCATGCATGTGTGTGTCTGTGGCTGCTTGTACTAGTCCGGACTGATGCTGATTTACAGTGCTAGCACACTGAGATACGCAGTTTAACATGAATACCCCACTCAGACACAGTAACTTCGAGCCGACCAGTACTTGTTTCAGCGCCTTAATGCTGAGCGCCAGACAGAGTAACAACAAGTACCATCATTTATCGTCTTTCGGTATGACGCGTCCGGGGATCGAACCCGGACCTTCTGGCTCTCCTGGCGGACGCTCTACCACTAGACCACAGAGGCGGTCTTCACCTTAAGTAATGGATGATGTGTGATGATTATTTTTACGCCACTTTCAGCAATATTCCAGCAATATCATGGCAGGAGACACGAGAAATAGGTTTCACAGACCCATGTACCCATGTGGGGAATCGAACCCAGGTCTTCGGTAAGACGGGCGAATGCTTCAACCACTAGGAAACCCCACCGCCCCTGGGCAAAATGTAACCATGCAATGTCCTAATACAAGGGTTATCCATAGGTACTTTCAACTTTTATGCCTCTTGAAGACTTAATCAAGTGGTCGACGGAGTGAGCACCATCTTTTAGGTCACAGGTGAGTTAGGGTGCTTACATTTAAGGTGAGGTGGGATGAAGATCAGCACTGCGTTCAAGATTACTGCACTCGTATATATGGTGACATGCATGCATGTTTGTTGTGTGGGTGCTTGTACTAGTCCGGACAAGTGCCGGTTTAATCGTACCAGCCCACTGAGGCCACTGCAGTTACCATGAATACCCAACTCAAACTCCGAGCTGACCAGTCCTTGTTTTATGCCCTTAATGTCGATCAACAGGCAGGGTAACAACAAGTACCATCTTTTAAACGTCTTTTGGTATGACCCAGCCTGGGATCAAACCACGGACGTCAACAATTACAAACTAGATATTCAGGAATACTATTTTAATAAATAACAGTAGACGAGCACACAGTTGACAGGTTTCATCCGATATACACAGCATCTAGCATCACAAGGGTGTAAGTATAAACAGTGTAACAAACTGGCAGATATATACACATTATCACTCAATACAAGGCTAACATGGATATCACAATACTTGTATATTTCTCACCAACCTCGATTATCCAGGGTAGTTTATCCCCATTCCAATATGCAGAAGACCCATTCACTACCACAGGACCCGTGAAAATTCGGGTTAGATCAGGTCTTAAGCAACCCATTCTTGGCATAAAAGGCGACTGTGTGGGACTTATGGGATTGGGTGGTCTTCGCTGACTTGGTTGATGCATGTCACTGAATCCCAATTGCTTGGACCGTTGCTCATGATGTCAATCATTCGATTGTCTGGTTCAGACTCCATTATTTCCAGACTGCCATCATATAGCTGGAATATTGCTAATTGCGGTGTTAAACAACAAACAAACACTACCATAGCTTTGTTTAAAAAACTAATTTGTATAGCGCAATGCTCCATCCAATGAAAGTACTCTCAGGAGCAAGGGAAATTCGATGCCCATTTAGCGATAGAAGAGATGGAGACAGTGACGTCACTTCCAAGTTGAAACTAAGTGGTGATCGGGTCCAGGGTATTATGATGGAATGAAGACAATACCCTGCACCATCGAGGATGATGTCACATGACTGGCAGGCTTAACAGAAAAGGTCAAAGGTCAGCACATGCAGCTGCAAAATTTTACCTATCAACATCTGACTTGATTTCTAGAAGTGTTCCTGCAACAGGGCTCCAGATAGCTGTTTAAACCATTGAATATGTACTTGATGTTATCATTGGGTTTTGGTGTTCTTTGGTTTCAATATATTTTCACTCCCTTGGTCCAGTCTATTGGCTGTTATTACACCAATGAGAAGGTTTGAAAAAAAGAATTCTGTCTTAACAGAAGTGTCTTAGGTGTCTTAACATTTTGCATAAACTCACAAGAGCAAGAATAAGAGAGATGTAACGCCTTTTAATGTATTATTCACTACAGTAGACTTCATGTACCGTATTCGGCGTAATAAGCGCCCTGCTCTAATAAGCGCCAACGGGGATGTTTGCTAATATATTGGCTTGTGAACAATCCCAATTAGCACCCTTCAGATTGATCCATGTACACAAGACTTATTTATTCGTGTATAATACACACTCGTGTGTTATATGCACCCTTAATTACGGGCAATTAAATTCTGGAAAATATATATCTGTTGTGTATAATACGCACAGACTTTTCTTTTGTATCATTTCAGGCTGTCAGCGTAAACCACGAAATTTACGGCCTTTCAATGCTTTCACCAAAATTTTATTCTAATAAGAGCCCCCTATTTCTAATTTTGAGAGCGCCCTGGGCGGTTATAACGTAGAATACTGCATTCGATCGGTAAATGAGGATCTTTAAGAAATACATGGATGCAAGTCCAAATTGGTAACTTGGTAATCATCCAGTGTTGTAATAACATTGTTGTTTTTTTAATTCTTCATCTGCATTTCTTCGCAAGCATCTCAAACTAATTTGATAGTTGTGATTTATTTGGGTAATCATGCAGTGTTGTAATAATATTGGGTATTTTTCAAATTCATCATGTGCACTCTTTCGCAAGCACCTTAATACTAATTTGGTAGTGGTAATTTATTTTGTATTTTTACACAAATACGAATCTTATCTGGAGTTCTGTGTAAGAGGGATGAACTGGCAACCAGTAAATGGTGGACAGTTTGATTAGAGCAGTACACAGCTAGGACTTTGCATCAGAGTGAGTGAGTGAGTATGGTTTTACGTCGCTTTTAGCAATATGCGAGGAATATATTGGCGGGGGACACCAGAAATGAGCTTAACACATTGTACCCATGTCGGGAATTGAACCCCGGTCTTCGGCGTGACGAGCGAACGCTTTAACCACTAGGCTACCTGACTGCCCCTTCTTTGCATCAGAGGAACATGGTGCAGTGACGTTTGTTCAATAGCAGTACATACTGGTACTTCAGCCTGCCCGGAAGTAATGGGAGGACATTGTGAAAATTACTTGACACCAAAAGTTTCATGTGAAGTAATGTGTACCCTAGACCTTGACCACAATGGTGAAACCCATGAACACGGGTATGGTGCTGACAAACCTAGAAACAATCGGGGTAATTATGGGATTCGAACCCACGATCATAGGTTTCTGGCATGTCTGAGAGAGGCAGACATGTGCAGCAACTCGCTGTGCTATAGAAGACTTGGCCTCAGTCTAATGCATGAGATCAAGTGTGTAAGGCGATGATGTTCAACAAGACAGCGTGAACATTGTACAGAAGAATGTATAAGATCCCAACAGACCTGAGTATTGGGAGTGTATGCACAATGAACACTTTGTACAGCACGACAAGTAAAGCACACATCTGCCCTAGTTTAGAGTATATACGGTACCCTGTTCCCCACACACAAAGCAATCATAACCCTCTCCCAATATAGGCCCATACTAAAAATATTGTCAGAATAATTCAGGCAGCACATATCAAACCATCCTCCTCACAATAAAGGCCCATACTAAAAATATTGTCAGAATAATTCAGGCAGCGCATATCATACCATCCCCTCCCAATATAGGCCCATACTAAAAATATTGTCAGAATAATTCAGGCAGCTCATATCATACCATACTCTCCCAATATAGGGCCATACTAAAAATATTGTCAGAATAATTCAGAGGTCCATACTAAAAATATTGTCAGAATACTTCAGGCAGCGCATATCATTCCAGCTCCCTCCCAAAATAGGCCCATACTAAAAATATTGTCAGAATAATTCAGGCAGCGTATATCATACCATCCCCTCCCAATATAAGCCCATACTAAAAATATTGTCAGAAGGATTCAGGCAGCGCATATCATTCCAGCTCCCTCCCAAAATAGGCCCATACTAAAAATATTGTCAGAATAATTCAGGCAGCACATATCATACCATCCCCTCCCAATATAAGCCCATACTAAAAATATTGTCAGAATAATTCAGGCAGCGCATATCATACCAGCTCCCTCCCAAAATAGGCCCATACTAAAAATATTGTCAGAATAATTCAGGCAGCGTATATCATACCATCCCCTCCCAATATAAGCCCATACTAAAAATATTGTCAGAAGGATTCAGGCAGCGCATATCATACCATCCCCTCCAAATATAGGCCCATACTAAAAATATTGTCAGAATAATTCAGGCAGCTCATATCATACCATACTCTCCCAATATACGGCCATACTAAAAATATTGTCAGAATAATTCAGGCAGTGCATATCATACCATCTCCCTCAAATATAGGCCCATACCAAAAATAGTGACAGAATAATTCAGGCAGCAACTAAAATAATGACATGGATTTCATTCAGTAAGTCGCGTATCAAATTATACAGGCTACACATGTCCTATAATGTATACAATATATCGAAGCAAGTACAAACTAGAGAGAAACATGGCAGAAGATCTATTGTTCATCTACTTGTGAATGAACCTGGGAACAATATTGTTAAAGTAATAATCCCTTTAAATATTTGTTTAAATGCACTGTTGAAAATTTGGTGAAGGTCTGAGATGCAATAGCTGAATGAAGAGATTGAATACATACTGTGATACTGAAATGTACAAAGTTTGGACACACAATACAACTGTCAACTATCTAAAAATCTTCCAAATTTCCTTACCTTCTGTTGTGTGCCAGTAAGTGGCTAAAGACTTGCATCACATTCAGCAATACTGGTATTTCTACAATGTCTTTGTCCGTTAAACTGTGAACAGCTCAAAAACTGAACCCAAGCCTTTGACCATCTTCCCGAGGCAAGAGCGTCCACCAGCCTTTTTATCAAAGTCTTATTTCCACCCTTTCCACATCAAGCCTACTTTCCTGTGCTAAATATGATTGGACTATCACACACATCGATAGTCCAATCAGAGGACGTTTCACAAAATCAACATCCACGACTGGTACACCTTCGTATGAGAGTGATTCACCGCTGCCTGTCTTTGTTCACACGAAAATGTCATTTTCATCTTTTAAATCCCCCAACAATTGCCTATGTTTTTGAGTCAGGGATGAAATCGCGAATGTTTTCGTTATCTGATCGACTAGGTAGTCGCCATCTTCGTGAAGCTATACGAGATAAGACTAGCGCTCTGATTGGATAACACGTTTTCATTACAAGGTGCACAACTCGTTATTACGCGAGGTGGCGCCAGGGTCAAGCCTAGAAAAGTGGCCTTGATGTGGCTAGAGTAGGAACTAGGTTTAGATATAGGCTGATGGACACGCCTTGGGAAGATGGCCTTTGATATGACAAGCATACACTTTAACCACATGTAAGTTAATACTTTCTCAGGTCACATGACCAAGTTTTCAGCTTTTTTGCAGGCAAACAACAGATTAAACAAAGGCAGATCAATATTTATTTTTGACTGTCCAGTTCAATTGATTAACCCGTCCATCAAACTGATCAACACCACATGACCACCATGTTTGTGTTTCGTAAGTTTGTTCATTTAGTCAAAAGACTCAACACTGACAAGTGTAAACAGTTGTACAGAGCGCTTCCATTTTGTATAAGAATATATTAACAAAATATCAAGATTCTTCAAGAAATCTAACACATATCATAGAAATATATATTACAAAGTAACTAACGCATTTGTCAAAAAACACCAAACTTTAAAATATGTTTATATACAAATTTCGAACAAATTTCAATACACTGCCATTACAGCACACTACAATATTTCTTTAAAAAATAAAAAACATTAGAGACATAATTATCACATAGTAGTTGCCACTGAACTACTGCAACCAGGGGAAAACCTGAAGTCAGGGACCAGTCATTTATTACAGTCGCTATATAATAAAAGTGCTTACCGGTATACATTTTGTCTTTTCAGGGTTAGGAAAAATATTTACAAGGACATGGGGAGGGTCATCCAAAATATCACAAGAATTAGGGGAGGGTCATTATTTTCTGTGCATAATGCATCAAAAACCTCTGACAGCCCTCCCCCGCTAATGACCGGTCCCTGAACTCCTAAACTAGGAAGTATTAGGCTTAAAAAAATAAAAGAATTGGTTCTCAGGCAATAACTTTTGAAAATATAGTGCTTGTTCAAACTAGTATGTAACCAAATAAACAGTTCTGTACCATCAACCTGGGAAAGGGCCTCCCTACATAAAGAAGCATACAAACTCCTATTGCTGCCATGATCATAACACGAGATGAGCAGTAAATCATGTGCGCATGTACAGTTGGTTGGTTGATTGGTTTGTTGTTTAACACAGCACTCAGCAATATTCAAGCTATATGACAGCGGTCTGTAAATAATTGAGTCTGGTATGCTGACAAACCTAGAAACATGATCTTGGCGAACCGGGATTTGAACCCATGATCACAGGTTTCAGGCTTGCCTAAGGGACACAACTGTGCATGGTGAATTGTGGCGCCTTGGACGACTGGGACACCCTTGCAGATGAAGTTCTATACGTGGCAATCAGCTTGTCAAGTATCAACACTGCAATATTCAGCTGCTTATACCATACCTAGTGTTACTGAAGTTATTCATCTTCAAGCCTCAAATAACATCTGATATCAGGGAAATTATGTAACAAAATCTACTGCTATTGAAGTGAGGTAAGTGTGTGACTGTTGTAGGTGGCAGTTTACAAGCAGTATACACCTTGTCACATATGTCCCTTCATTTGTCAACACAGTCAGACACGTGAAGATTCCGGGGTAGAATAGGTCTTCAGCAACCCATGCTTGCCGTAAAAGGTGACTATGCTTGTCGTAAAAGGCGACTAACGGGATCGGGTGGTCAGGCTCGCTGACTTGGTTGATGCAGATCATCGATCCCAATTGCATGGATCGATGCTCATGATATTAATCACTGGATTGTCTGGTCCAGACTCGATTATTTCCAGACTGCCGTCATATAGCTGGAATATTGCTGAGTGTGGCGTAAAACAACAAACCAACCAAATCAACACAGTCAACTGTGAAGTGCGATTGTGAACAATACTTTGTATCAAATATTGTAATACTGGTAATCGTGAGATAACCATATATTCAGAGGATGCCCGTCATCGTCACTGGGAAATGTTTTAAATTTCCTTTTTTACAGATATTTTGGCAAACAAATCTAGGTTGTAGGGCTGGGACGGGTAACTTGGGTACCTGGGTAGGATGGGTACTGAGTAGGACCCGGGTATCCACAGGACTACCCGGACCAAGGGTTAGTCACGTGATATATTGTTTAATGACAAAAATTATCTGGAACTCTTCGGTTACACTACAAGTCACTAATGTTCGCATTTCTTTCTGACTATGCACCCATTCCTTCTGACTTTGAATATGGTTGATTATACAAATAACTTAGTCAACTTCAGTGTATGCATGACCAGATTGTTTAATACATGCATCTGAATACGTTTTGTCATGGCTATGCTAAAAAGTTCCAAATCAGACATTTTGAGACATCTCCAGAGACCTACAGTGGGTACCCGGGTAGGGTCGGGTAATAGAGGGGTGGGTACCCGGGGAGTAAATTTGGACACATTCCAGCCCTACTAGGTTGGTCTTTAAAAAAAAAAAGTCTTTTCAGGGCCAACACAGGACTCAACACATAATGATGCATTCGGTGGGATGAAATATTTTAAAGCAAAACTTAAAATTTATTTTGCCACGTTTCTTTTCAAATCATTAAAAGAATTACACAATAAACTACTGTCCACTTCTGTAGCAATGACATTGAGACTGAGGGTACAGGCAAGAATCACAGTAGCATCTTTACAGGTAGTGAGTGAGTGAGTTTGGTTTTACGTCGCTTTTAGCATTATTCCAGCAATATCACGGTGGGGGACACCAGAAATGGGCTTCACATATTTTACCCATGACGGGAATCGAACCCGGGTCTTCGGTGTGACGAGCGAACGCTTTAACCACTAGGCTACCCGACCGCCCCTCTCTACAGGTAGGACGGCTCACCTCGACACAAGTCCTTAGTTTCAGGCACAAGCATGCCTGCATCAATACACATAGTGCCTTACTCTGCCCTCAACAGTATTTCTGTTATCTTACGGCGTGTCAGCTTGAAGTGCAAGGAAAGCGAGGCAGGTCTTAGGCTTTGGGCAGATAGTGTAATTATTAACTACGGTAGACCATATAACTGGCTATTTATTTTTTGGCCTTTTTATCGTATTGGTGGAATTTGGTGCAAAATGTCGTAATGACTCTGCCCAGATCGTACTTACCTCTGACATTATACCAGAGGGGTCATTCCCATGAGCTGGAGCCATGCAGAGACACCGTCTTAAACCCGAGTTAAGGCAGTCTAACTGAAAGGGTTTCACGGTTACATGAAGCATTACAGTAAGAAACATCACTCCTTTCAGTCAATAGTTGTCAAAGATTTGATCCCAATGTGTCGGAGATCAATAATGCTGGCAATAATCCAATTTGAGCATAATTCATACACATATAAAAAAACATTCATGTTACAAAATGACAGCCAAAAAATTAGTCAAAAATACTTGGAAATTCCTGTAAAGGTTCCTCAACAAATGTTGCTTCTGAGTTGATTTTGAATGGTCGACGTAGTCCTGTTCAAGGTCCAGAGACAACAAGCAAGTGTGTCACACGTTTTTCTTGTCCGCCTCGGGCACCAGACAGGATATGTGACTGTGAACAATTCCGTTGATGATCCCGTCACTTCCTTCTGGCGATGGCGGCAGTGGCTTTCCGACCCGCAAGTACCCGTTAGGTTTCTTCAGCTCTCCCTGAGACGGAATGTCTTCCAGTGATTCTGAGTGTGAACATACCTTCTGACCAACTAATATATCTGCTGTCTGTGTCATTTCAGAGTTACCTGACAACGTTTCATGTCTCGAATCTGACTTGGAAACAACAGAGCTGCCATTGTTTTTCCTTTTTCTCTTCCATGCATTCCACCGTTTTGTGTATTTCTTGATGGCATACTGAACAATGGCTATCCAGAACACCCAACCAATCGCGTATATGCACACGCCGCCTAATCGGCCGAAGAAGTCAGTAGGCTGTTGGAAGTAGCTGTACAAAAGCACTGACCCCACCCCGATCCTCAGCATGCCAAAGGTCCCCATGAACAATATGTCCACAATTTCTCCAACGATCGTGTGATATTGTCCCGTCTCACGGAGAAACCAGCGGAGCTGCAACAAGGGGTTGGTGAGTTCAGCGCCACAGATGGTGGCGACCAGCTCGGTGCCATACTTCCCTGCCACCAGGGTGACGGTCAGCCCAAATATACTGAGAGCATGATGGGCCATCATTGCTGGCCCTGAAACATGAGGTAACTATGGTAACCAAGCATGGAATGGTATATTATTAATAACCGGATGTCATGCATAATATTTGCCTGTAAAGAGGGATAATGATGTTAACAATAGCTGTTATCATACTTAAAAGAAAATTAATAAAAAGAAAGATATTTTGGTTCTCATAGAAATATCATCTTCCCGGGGCAAGAGAGTTAACTGACTATAAAAGTCCAGTTTCCACCCTTGCCGAACTAGGCGGGTATTATGGAGTTACATTTTGGCTGGTCTAACGAGTTTATGCATAGTCCAATCAAAATCGCGCACCGAAATCGAAATCCGGTTCGTAAACTGTCGTGCAGATTACGGTCGATTGAAGGATTTGCAAAGCATGTGCACCGCTAACTCGTTGTCAACAGATATTTTCTAAATCTTTTCATGCTTTTAATCAAGGTGCTCACATGATTTGATGCACTTTGCGATGTTAGGCTCGTTTTATCACAATATAGATCTTGATTATCGATCAGATCGTCTTGACTGGCGCCGCCATTTTGTTTCAAGTAATGGGATGGGAATGGTCCATAGGAGAGGCTCAGAAGGGACATAACTCATAATAACCACTGGTGGCGCTACGATCAAGCCCAGGAATTCCAGCCTAGTTCGGCAAGGGTGGAAACTGGACTTTTAAAGTCAGTTAACTCTCTTGCCTCGGGAAGATGTAGAAATATATGTTTTTCCCTAAGACTTATGAAAAAGCTATATGACGGCGGTCTGTTAATAATTGAGCCTGGACCAGACAATTCAGTGATTGGCATCATGAGCATCGATCCACGCAATTGGGATACAATGACATGCACCAACCAAGTCAGCGAGTCTGACCACCCGATCACGTTAGTCGCCTGTTACGACAAGCATGGGTTGACCTATTCTAAACTGGATGTTAATGGGTTTCTGACCTCTGTGACATTTACATTCAAAATGGGATATAATTTGTCTCCTGCATGGATCGAAATTTTCAAACCGAGGTACAGTTGAACCCGTTATCTTGAACCTAACGGAACCATGTTGTAACTCCGAGATATCTGGGCATTCGAGTGAGTATGGTTTTAGGCAGCTTTTAGCAATATTCCAGCAATATCACTGCAGGGGACACCAGAAATGGACTTCACACATTGTACCCATGTCGGGAATCGAACCCGGGTTTTCGGCGTGACGAGCGAACGCTTTAAGCACTAGGCTACCCGACCGCCCCTCTCTACAGGTAGGACGGCTCATCTAATGAGGTAGTTGGGACCGAAGAACAGGGTCGAGATATCGGTACATTCGAGATAACAGTGTTTGAGATAACTAGGTTCGACTAGTGGTGAAATGAAGCCAATTTGTTATAGAAAGCTGACATCTGATTGGCTCAAAATCACATATTTGTCATTTAGACTGGGTGGTCAAAGATCACTCGGGCTTTACCTGGCACAACCTACTATGAAGGGTTCCTCAGACGACATCATAGTGTAGTATCGGAGTAAACAATATCCTTTCAAAGATAATAAAGGGAGGTAATCTCAAAAAAATTTATCTCCCCTTGACAACAACAACAAACGAACCCTCGGTTTTGAAGTAGAGACACCAGGAGAAGTCGAAGATGAAGTAGCCGAGGCAGATGGACGTGGTCAGGTACTGGAGTGGGGTGTTCGGGCCTCCTGTGGTAGACAAACACGAGGATGTAACTCTGACAAGCGTCATGCATCGATGGGGGTTTAAGAATACTTAGGAACTGGAATATATACCGTAATCGACGTAATAAGCGCCCAGGGCGCTCTCAAAATTAGAAATAGGGGCTCTTATTAGAATATTATTTTGGTGGAAAAAAGAGAGTTGAAAGATAGATTTCGTGGTTTATGCTGACACACTGAAATGTTTATATGCGACAGATACATTTTTCCAGAATTTCATTGCCCATAAATAAGAATGCATTTAACACACGAGTGCGTATTATATGCGAATAAATAAGTCTTGTGTATATTTATCAATCGGGAGGGGTGCTGATTGGGATTGTTCACCTGCCAATATATTAGCAAATATCGCCGAGGGTGCTTATTAGAGCGGAGCGCTTATTACGTCGAATACGGTACTCCTGGGAATGATTCAATGTCAGAAGACTTCTAACAATACATTCACATACAATGTTCACTTAGCAGATTCACTGAAGAAAACTTCCATCTGATATTAAATGGCAGTGTATTATATTGTTTGGCAATGATTGTGGCTGTGTTGCATTGCTTCTGTTGAGATTCGGAAGACGCTTATTGCATTGTGTTTGGACAGTGATCAGTCATTACTGTTTAGATGCTAGTGTGGTCTGTTAACTTCCAGTTCGGTGTACCATGGATGTTGATAGTATTTTACTGAAAGTTGTGTTATTTTCTAGTGTTGCTAGACTTGTGAGGTCACTGTATAGAAATTTCCAGCAGCTGGTTAGACTGTATGAGGGAACAAGAGCACGTTGGAACCAGCTTTCATGTGAGGATAGCTCATCATCCCTTACTCCCTGCCTTGCCCATCTCAGCAGCTTGATTCTGTCACCGCTGGGTGAATATATTTTAATATCACTGACTTTTGCTATCACCACTGTATTTTTGTATCAGATAATGACTACTACCATCATATAATATATTGCCATTGAATATTGTACAACCACTTTATTGTTTACTGCCATCGTAATTGCTGTACAGTAATCAGTACAGTGAGACATTGCACTATTTCAGCTACAGGGTGAGACACTGCATTATTTCAGCTAAAGGGTGAGACTCTGCACTATTTCAGCTACAGGGTGAGACATTGCACTATTTCAGCTACAGGGTGAGACACTGCACTATTTCAGCTACAGGGTGAGACTCTGCACTATTTCAGCTACAGGGTGAGACACTGCACTATTTCAGCTACAGGGTGAGACACTGCACTATTTCAGCTACAGGGTGAGACTCTGCACTATTTCAGCAATAGGGTGAGACACTGCACTATTTCAGCTACAGGGTGAGACACTGCACTATTTCAGCTACAGGGTGAGACACTGCACTATTTCAGCTACAGGGTGAGACACTGCACTATTTCAGCTACAGGGTGAGACACTGCACTATTTCAGCTACAGGGTGAGGCACAGCACTATTTCAGCTACAGGGTGAGACACTGCACTATTTCAGCTACAGGGTGAGACACTGCACTATTTCAGCTACAGGGTGAGACTCTGCACTATTTCAGCTACAGGGTGAGACACTGCACTATTTCAGCTACAGGGTGAGACACTGCACTATTTCAGCTACAGGGTGAGACACTGCACTATTTCAGCTACAGGGTGAGACACTGCACTATTTCAGCTACAGGGTGAGGCACAGCACTATTTCAGCTACAGGGTGAGACACTGCACTATTTCAGCTACAGGGTGAGACACTGCACTATTTCAGCTACAGGGTGAGACTCTGCACTATTTCAGCTACAGGGTGAGACACTGCACTATTTCAGCTACAGGGTGAGACACTGCACTATTTCAGCTACAGGGTGAGACACTGCACTATTTCAGCTACAGGGTGAGACACTGCACTATTTCAGCTACAGGGTGAGGCACAGCACTATTTCAGCTACAGGGTGAGACACTGCACTATTTCAGCTACAGGGTGAGACACTGCACTATTTCAGCTACAGGGTGAGACTCTGCACTGTTTCAGCTACAGGGTGAGACACTGCACTATTTCAGCTACAGGGTGAGACACTGCACTATTTCAGCTACAGGGTGAGACACTGCACTATTTCAGCTACAGGGTGAGACACTGCACTATTTCAGCTACAGGGTGAGGCACAGCACTATTTCAGCTACAGGGTGAGACACTGCACTATTTCAGCTACAGGGTGAGACTCTGCACTATTTCAGCTACAGGGTGAGACACTGCACTATTTCAGCTACAGGGTGAGACTCTGCACTATTTTAGCTACAGGGCGAGACACTGCACTATTTCAGCTACAGGGTGAGACACTGCACTATTTCAGCTACAGGGTGAGACTGCACTATTTCAGCTACAAGGTGAGACTGCACTATTTCAGCAACAGGGTGAGACACTGCACTATTTCAGCTACAGGGTGAGACACTGCACTATTTCAGCTACAGGGTGAGACACTGCACTATTTCAGCTACAGGGTGAGACACTGCACTATTTCAGCTACAGGGTGAGACACTGCACTATTTCAGCTACAGGGTGAGACACTGCACTATTTCAGCTACAGGGTGAGGCACAGCACTATTTCAGCTACAGGGTGAGACACTGCACTATTTCAGCTACAGGGTGAGACACTGCACTATTTCAGCTACAGGGTGAGACTCTGCACTATTTCAGCTACAGGGTGAGACACTGCACTATTTCAGCTACAGGGTGAGACACTGCACTATTTCAGCTACAGGGTGAGACACTGCACTATTTCAGCTACAGGGTGAGACACTGCACTATTTCAGCTACAGGGTGAGGCACAGCACTATTTCAGCTACAGGGTGAGACACTGCACTATTTCAGCTACAGGGTGAGACACTGCACTATTTCAGCTACAGGGTGAGACTCTGCACTGTTTCAGCTACAGGGTGAGACACTGCACTATTTCAGCTACAGGGTGAGACACTGCACTATTTCAGCTACAGGGTGAGACACTGCACTATTTCAGCTACAGGGTGAGACACTGCACTATTTCAGCTACAGGGTGAGGCACAGCACTATTTCAGCTACAGGGTGAGACACTGCACTATTTCAGCTACAGGGTGAGACTCTGCACTATTTCAGCTACAGGGTGAGACACTGCACTATTTCAGCTACAGGGTGAGACTCTGCACTATTTTAGCTACAGGGCGAGACACTGCACTATTTCAGCTACAGGGTGAGACACTGCACTATTTCAGCTACAGGGTGAGACTGCACTATTTCAGCTACAAGGTGAGACTGCACTATTTCAGCAACAGGGTGAGACACTGCACTATTTCAGCTACAGGGTGAGACACTGCACTATTTCAGCTACAGGGTGAGACATTGCACTATTTCAGCTACAGGGTGAGACACTGCACTATTTCAGCTACAGGGTGAGACACTGCACTATTTCAGCTACAGGGTGAGACACTGCACTATTTCAGCTACAGAGTGTAATGCTAAGTAATAACTGTCTGTGTTTGTGACGGAGTGTATTTCTGACAAAGTGTGTTTCTGAAGGAGTGTTTCTGATGGAGCATATTGCTGATGGAGTGTGTTTGTGAGGGAGTTTATTACTGAGTATTTCTGATGGAGCGTATTTCTGATGGAGCGTATTTCTGAGGAAGCGTATTTCTGATGAGGAGCATTTTTGAGGGATTGTGTTTCTGACCAGGTGTTTTTTTGACAGAGTGTATATCTGACGGAGAGTTTCTGACGGAGTGTGTTTCTGAATGAGTGTATATCTGACGGAGTGTGTTTCTGATGGAGCATATATCTGTCAGAGTGTATTTCTTACGGAGTGTGTTTCTGACGGAGTGACGGACTGTTTCTGATGGTGAGTATTTAAGTTATCATTCCAACCTGCATGGGTGAAAGGCCAGGGTCCCTGGATGAAGCTGCACCAGGCCGCTAGTGAGGTGATGAGGAGGGCGTGGATGGCGGTGACAGAGCGACAGTGCCACTCACAGCGCCGCCCAGGGTTGAGTCGACACAGCAGCAGGTACAACAGCGTCCACAACCCTAGGCAGCACAGCACCAGCAACAGCGTCATCGTCACATCTGAAACACACAAGCAGGCTTCAAAGTTAAAGTAGCCATATGGCTACAAATACTTTTATTCTAGGTAGCCACAGGTAAAATCAAGAAATCTGGCCAATATTATAGGTACCCAAATACATTTGAAATTATCTCTTAAAGGCATTTTAATCAAATTCCTATAAAAATATGTACAAGTCATGGCATTTGTCCTGGAATCGTACATGAGTGAGTGAGTATGGTTTTACGCCGCTTTTAGCTATATTACAGCAATATCACGGCGGGGGACACCAGAAATGGGCTTCACACATTGTACCCATGTCGGGAATCGAACCCGGGTTTTCGGCGTGACGAGCGAACGCTTTAACCACTAGGCTACCCGACCGCCCCGATTCGTACGTGAGCCACACATAGTTCATAAGCCATTCTTAGTTTAATTTTCTTTCCACAATTAAGAATTATGATTTACTTTCGACTGTCACCAGTTTTATGGCTTCTCCATGTCTTTATATGCGTCCGTTGGCTTGGAATCATATCAACCATCACTATTACTAGTTCCTGAGTAACTAGCATCATTGTTTTCACTCACAACTTTCGGTGGTGTAATCAAAATGTTCATTGACACAGACGAAGAATGCGGTTATCATGGTTATACGAATTCCATTGCAATCGGAAAAACTGGCGATCCAGAAAGCGGCATAACAGATGTCAATCAAGGTATTTGTTTTTGTGTCTACTAATTTGACCAATTAAACTTCAGTCACCACAAGATAAAGGTATCCATGTGGCGACCTCTCAGTATTTTATAGTTGACAAAATCAAAGTTAGGTCGCATTGATGACCGTTTTAGTTGCAACTTTGGCGCCTGCAGACACCAATCTTCGCAGGCTGTGGCCACACAGTCTGTCCTCATGCTGTCTCCATAGGAAAGGTGCAACACTTGGTATCCCTCATCAATCTCACAGCCCAAACTTATGAACATACTGTCATTTTTCAGTGGATACAGAACAAGGACTGCCCTGGTACTTTGAAATATCCTACAGAAGAAGGATTACCCTGGTACTTAAATATACCATAGAAGAAGGATTACCCTGGTACTTTGATATACCATATAAAAGAAGGATTACCCTGGTACTTTGATATACCATATAAAAGAAGGATTACCCTGTTACTATAACATACCATATAAAAGAAGGATTACCCTGATACTTTAATATACCATATAAAAGAAGGGTTACCCTGGTACTTTGATATACCACACAAAAGAAGGATTACCCTGGTACTTTAATATACCATATAGAAGAAGGATTACCCTGTTCCTTTAACATACCATATAAAAGAAGGATTACCCTGGTACTTTAATATACCATATAAAAGAAGGATTACCCTTGTTCTTTAATATGTCATACAAAATCAGGATTATCCTGGTACTTTAATATACCATATAGAAGAAGGATTACCCTGGTACTTTAATATACCATAAAAAAGAAGTATTACCCTTGTTCTTTAATATGTCATACAAAAGAAGGATTATCCTGGTACTTTAATATACCATATAAAAGAAGGATTACCCTTGTTCTTTAATATGCCATACAAAAGAAGGATTACCCTGTTACTTTAACATACCATATAAAAGAAGGATTACCCTGTTCCTTTAATATACCATATAAAAGAAGGATTACCCTGTTCCTTTAATATACCATATAAAAGAAGGATTACCCTTGTTCTTTAATATGTCATACAAAAGAAGGATTATCCTGGTACTTTAATATGCCATATTAAAGAAGGATTACCCTGTTACTTTAACATACCATATAAAAGAAGGATTACCCTTGTTCTTTAATATGTCATAAAAAAGAAGGATTACCCTGGTACTTTGATATACCATATAAAAGAAGGATTACCCTGTTCCTTTAATATACCATATAAAAGAAGGATTACCCTGTTCCTTTAATATACCATATAAAAGAAGGATTACCCTGGTACTTTAATATACCATATAAAAGAAGGATAACCCTTGTTCTTTAATATGTCATACAAAAGAAGGATTACCCTGGTACTTTAATATGCCATATAAAAGAAGGATTACCCTGTTCCTTTAATATACCATATAAAAGAAGGATTACCCTGGTACTTTGATATGCCATATAAAAGAAGGATTACCCTGGTACTTTAATATACCATATAAAAGAAGGATTACCCTGTTCCTTTAATATACCATACAAAAGAAGGATTACCCTGGTACTTTAATATACCATATAAAAGAAGGATTACCCTGTTCCTTTAATATACCATATAAAAGGAGGATTACCCTGTTCCTTTAATATACCATATAAAAGAAGGATTACCCTTGTTCTTTAATATGTCATACAAAAGAAGGATTATCCTGGTACTTTAATATACCATATAGAAGAAGGATTATCCTGGTTCTTTAATATACCAAATAGAGTGAGTGAGTATGGTTTTTCGCCGCTTTTAGCAATATTCCAGCAATATCACGGCAGGGGACACCAGAAATGCGCTTCTCACAATGTACCCATGTCGGGAATTGAACCCGGGTCTCCAGCGTGAGGATCGAACGCTTTAACCACTAGGCTACCCGACCGCCCCCTATACCATATAGAAGAAGGATTACCCTGTTACTTCGATATACCATATAAAAGTTTGACATCATGAGCATTGATCCATGCAATTGGGATACAATGATATGCATGAACCAATTCATGATCCCGTTAGCCGCCTCTTACGACAAGCATGGGTTGCCTGTTAGAGCAAACATGGGTTGCTGAAGACCTATTCTACCCCGGATCTTCACGGGTCTCAAAGTAATGCAGATCTTAGCTGTTAAACCAAACACTCTCACTCAAAACTGACCTGTCAATGAACTCATGGCACTGTGAACACAAAGGCTTAATGGGCCTGACAGTTTACCCCTGCGTACATCTGATACAGATACAGAACACATGGAATCCGTGATTAAAACATATACATAATACATCATTGATATGTACATCACCATTACTGCCAGTTATTCTAAAATGATGAAGAAATCCTAAATATGCAGATGCCACTTAATTAACTGCTTATCATTTTAATCTGCAATGTAATAAACAGTGGTATCATGTTATAGCCATAATAAATAAATATTGCAATGTACATTAATTATCTTAAAACTGCGCTTGTCATGTCTGCACTTTAACTGTTGATGTGATTCACATGACGCATGTTTCGCAGGACTATGCATATGATCCAGGAATGACCAGGATTTACCTCAACCTACTCAGAGGCAGACATTCCGACTTCAGGGTTCAAAATTAACATAAGTCCACAAGTCAGTGAGTGAGTGAGTGAGTTGGGTTTAATGCCGCTTTAATAATCATTATTCTGCTTATATCGCGGCCTGTCAGCTTAATGTGGGAGGAAAGCCCGAAGTGATGCAGGTCTCAGACGTTTACAACTTCGGGTATGGTGCTGACAAACCTAGAAACATAATTGGGGCAAACCGGGATTCGAACCCACAATCATAGGTTTCTGGCGTGCCCAAGGGACGTAACTCTGCACAGTACTGGGCCACCCGTGCCCCCCCCCCCCCCCCCCAACTAGTCAGAAGCTAGAAGAATTAAAAGTGGACTAATAGCCTTTCCTTGCGAACTACCAGTTTTACCATGAAATACACGGCATCCCTGTCATGTCTAAAGCAGATAATTAATCATTTTGGAGGACAAGCGAAAAAAGTTCATTTCATATTTTCCAACCCTGTAATTCAATTGGAATTCAATCATTCTCAGTTCATGAAAGTACATTAAGAAAATTCAAATCTCATTAAAATCGGATCTTAGTTCTTGCTATCGCTAAACAAAGATCTAAGGACATCCCATTAGGGGTCCCGTCAGAACGACCTTTCATACAACCAATCAAAGCGTTGCTTACCTGATCATGAAAAAGACAGTCAAAATGTGTTTTCTAATCATGCAACCTTGAAAACGTTAACACGGGGTATTCCAAACGATAGTTACGGCCTGTATGGTTCATTCCGTCAAAATTATCGTCTATCTCTCGCTTCCATGGGATAAATATGTGAACGGAGGAGGCGTTGCACAGTACGTGGGAAGAATTGCTATACAATCTCAACCATATATTAGACATTCCGGAATATTCATTTGTTTTGTTCCAGCGTAGTCTGAAGTGGAAGTCGCCAGATTGAAACAAGTGCCATAAAGCTTGAGAAAGCTGCTTTCTCATTGGCTGATATCGTCTTCTTGGTATTCGTTTCAGTGGTTGTTCTGACGTGACCCGTAATGGGATGTCCTCAGATCTTTGTTTAGTGGAAGCAGGAACTTACATCTGATTTTAATGAGATTGAGAAAATTCCATTTTTCAACAAAATAATGATTTTGTTCCCAAGTTGACTGTCAAGGGAGCTTAGTCTGGAATCCTATATACCGTATTCCACGTAATAAGCGCCCCGCTCTAATAAGCGCCCACTGCGATATTTGCTAATATATTGGCTTGAACAATCCCAATTAGCACCCCTTCCGATTAATCAATGTACACAAGACTATTTATTGGTGTATAATACCCACTCATGTCTTATGTGCACACTTAATTATGGGCAATTAAATTCTGGATAAATATGTCTGTCATACATAAACATTTTTTATGCTGTCAGCATAAACCACAATATTTATCTTTCAACTCTGTTTTTTTCACGAAAATAATATTCAAATAAGAGCCCCCTATTTCTAATTTTGAGAGCACCCTGGGCGCTTATTACGTTGAATACGTTAAATCCCTGTGTGGTGTATTTCATCACGTAAAGAAGGGGATGACAACATCCTTATGGTTGGAATCTCCAAATCTAATGACATAACTTTATATTTAACATCAACCAAATATTTTAACAGTAGCAAACATTTTCATGAAAAACAAGAAAGAACGACTTTAAACATGGAAGCAAGTTACCATGGTTACAGCAGTTGTTTAAAAAGCCTTCATGATAAAAATACCTCAGTATCATATCACAAAAGTTGAATTTTAATATTAAATCACTGTGAAGAAGAAGGCTTAATGACCTCTTGGGCACAATACAAGTATATTATATTTACATTTTCTGAACCATGCAACACAAGGCATATTGTGGAAATACAGACAGGCACTACAACATGTCATCGTCATGGTTACTGAGATTTACCAACTGGCTTAAATCAGCACTTTTTCAATATGCACATTGCGGATATTTAGGGATTCAGATCATTTCATTTTCTAGGACAGTGACCATTTGTCATAATAACAAAATCTGAAGATTTAGAACAAATTTGGTTATGACAGAGCATGTCCTATCATAAGTTGACAAAGTCATGAAAATGTCCAAATCACTGGCTATTTGGGGCGGTTGGGTAGCCTAGTGATTAAAGCGTTCGCTCATCACGCCGAAGACCTGGGTTCGAATCCCAACATGGGTACAATGTGTGAAGCCCATTTCTGGTGTCCCCAGCCGTGATACCATATACCGATTTATTGTGCTAGCTCACTGAGATACCATGCCGCAGTTTAACATGAATACCCCACTCAGACACAGTATACTGACACCAAGCTGACCAGTCCCTGTTTTAGCTCCTTAATGCCGAGCACCAGACAGGGTAACAACATGTACCATCTTTAAACATCATTTGGTATGACGCGAATGGTAATCGAACCCCGGACAATCCGCTCTCCAGGCGGACTCTCTACCACTAGACCATAGAGGCGGTCTTGTACATAACAGGCACAGTCTCATTGTGCTTTCCACTTTCTACTATCTGCCTTCATTATTCTCTAGTCAGTACTAAAGTACTAGCAGTACAGTCAACCCCAAACTAACAATCATATAATAGAGTTTATGTTAAAGAAGGAATAATAGTTCCCTACTTGAGTTCACCGTGTCACTGAGTCGATGTATATATCATGTACATAATGTAGGGCTTAACTACATGCCCGAGAGAATCTCACCCGAGTGTCTTTTGATATCAAATATATCAACGAGTGTTGATATATTTGATATCAAAAGACACTCGGGCGAGATTTTATTTATCATCCAACATCATTCTTCAAACTTTTTCAATTTGTAGACAGTAATTAGCAGTGTCTTCAGTGTAAAAAGTACTGCTAACAGCTTCAGTAGCAGAGCCATTAGTGATGTCATTTGATTGTGACATCATGGTAACCAGTGTTGCACAAAGGTCTGCAAAGCATTGTGATGTAATTTCATTGCACCGATATCTACAGTGTAGATATCGCTTGATCTCATCAAAGCGATATCTCCTGTGGGAGCCAGTTTTGGATGATAAAAGAGTTTACCTGATCATTCAGACCTAACATGTCACCTGTTATCAGCCACGGACATCAGCTGAGATCACACCATGCCCTGTTATCAGCAACTGGCCATACATAAAACTATAGATGTTCATCCCTGGCTGCCTCTGTACCACACAGCTCTCCTCACATTATTTTATAGTCAGGTGCCATCTTGTTACCGTCCATTACTCTTTCTTTTCTTTGTTTGTTGTTTAACTCAACACTCAGCAATATTCCAGCTATATGACGGCAGTCTGTAAATAATCGAGTCTGGACCAGACAATCCAATGATTGACATCATGAGCATCGATCCAAGTAATTGGGACCGATGACATGCATCAACCCTCCATTACTCAAATCAAAAACATGATCTGTCACATGACATTACAGACATGAAGTTTACAAACAGCAACCGGAACATCATCGGTGTATACGATTGTTCAGATACAAAATTATAATCAGATAATGTTTAATCAAAATGTGCATAAGTGAAGAAGTAAGTTTGGAGGTATGTTTCATTGAAGAATTGACTTCGATAACATTCATACAATGTTTGGCCCCCACTCTATGAAGGAACTCACACAAAGTGAAGGTCAATTTTTACAATTTTTATAGCACTATTTTATACCTCGAGTGATGTATTATACAATTTCATTTTGTGCTTGAGACTTGTTTACACTGATAGCCATACAACACTGTAACAGAGTAAAATACTTCATAAAAAGGAGAGGTGACATGAGTGAATGTATGCTCAACTTGCTCTACAGGAGCATCTCCTTTACAAAAGTCAGTGACATTGACCACTCGTCATAAAATATTGACACCAAATACAGGACATCAAAATGGCCGACTTAATAAACTTGATGGGAGAGATTTCAGAAGTTGTTATATAATGAACCTGTAGCAATTACAAGTGTTAGTCATCATTGATAAATTGGCCAGTCATTGAAAGGTGATCATAAAGATGTGCCAAATAGGTTCTGAGGTGAATTTATAGATTGCTGTAGACTGTCCCTGTCATTTCTAGATGCAGATCAAGTAGTGGATGTACATTTCTTCGTTTGATTTACTAGAATAGGTCGAGGCGAGTATGTTCTTGAACAGACATGCAGTCAAACTCTCTGACTTATTCCAATGTATGTTAAAATGCTAGGATCAAAGACTTTAAATCAGAAACAACACTTCTGTATTTAGTCTTTGAGGGAATTCCAGGGGTTTCCCCAGGAAAGTGGAAGCAGTGCGTCAGTGTTTACATTATTTCAAGAATAGAATCTCGTGATTAAAGTATGAACGTCAAAATGTGTTGTTCATACACTTTTTAGCATCAGTTTCGCAGTCATGTGACCGACCTCTCGCCCAATGGAAAAGCTGATATATCGCGTGAACTTCAAAAAAGAAAAATTACATATTGAATATCTTACCTCGTGCAGCATGATTTATAACATAACTTCAGTGGCAAACTTTCATGTCTTCAGTGGGCTTTGAAGCGTCTACCTTGATTACGTTATTTAGCATGTGGTTATGTATTGTTTAGGGGCTCAAAAAGAGGTGAGGTTAAAAAACATGTCACATGGGGATATAAACATATTTACAGCAACATCTCGCCAAGTCATATTACCAATCTGATCACTGAATCTAGGCTAGACAAAGCAGTGGTTGTAGGCCATGGCAACAGTTAACTTCATTTATTTATTAAGTTAATTTAAGGTGAAAATACTGCGTTTGTCATTGGGTCTTATCATTGCATAAATGTAGCCAACTTGTTTCAAAATAACAGGATCTCTTACTAGCCTATCTAGTGGAGGGAGTAGGGAACCTTCAGCTAGTTTATTTGCCATTTCAAAGTTTGCAGGTTTTTTAACGTCGTATGTGAAGCGTAGAACTAGACTCGACATACAGTGTAGCCTTAAACAGCGACAATAATTATCAGCTAAAACGGCCATTTGATTTGCAATAACACCGTTTTCAGCTTTGGAATCTGCAGTTCTACATTCGGCCATCGGCTCATTGAATATAGTTCTATTCTTATGGTTAATCAATTTAAGATCAGTGAAGAGACGTGAATGACAAAGTGGACATTCTATGAAGCAAATATGGTGTCATGCTTGGCATTACCTGTAGATTAAAACCAAATACCGCTCAAGCTGTCGTGAAAGCAACAAGTTTGTTTTCTATATGGAGGCTGCCATTTTGCAAACACTGATTAAGATTGCTTGACTCATTGGTTGGTCGAAAATGAGCATCCCAACAGTTTTTATCAAAATTTATTATTTACAGATGTTTAAATTTACCAAGGTCTACTTAATATTGAAACCTTATGTTTATTGAAAACATTGTAATAATATTATTGTTTTTTAAGAAACACATTTTCGCTGCTGGTCTATAAAATATTGTGACGTCATTGTCAATAACGGGCGTTAACCTGGAAACACAGATACAAATATTGTGGTGATAATTCCCACACCTCTGAATCAATGATGGTAAGTGTGTATTTACATCCATTTATCTAGAAGACTGCGCACTTGTGTGGTTGAATTTGTTTTGCGAGTCATCATTCATTGTCATAATCCCGCAGATAGCTTATTTAGGCGGCATATTCAAAACTCAAAATAACACCCCAACTCTCATGACTCCCCCACTCACAATTGACAGTGTTATTTCACGGCCTAATGCGACTCGCTACGATATATCCTTTATTTTCAGAACACCTTCTATCCCTACCAACACAATTCGCAGTATAAACAGTATTTTTATTGCAATATTTTCAAAGAAATTGACATGTTCATAGTCTAAAATCCACAATGCACAAGCATTTTCTGACCAAATTCTTTTTCATATCTGTCAAGTTGTAAATGACAAAGCTTTTTTGTGTATTGATTACACAATAATCGACAAAATATTTGTTTATTTCTGTCACCAAGTATACTACTGTGTATATAAAGGAATAATGAACATTGCCAAAATTATCACAATTCACTTTAAAAAAATTAAGAATTGAACGCCAGTTTGGATGGGTTCATTGAAGTGTGAACGATTTAAAAGTGCTGGTTAAAGTGTGTGAACCTCCGAGCTTTCGAATTCCACCTGTATCCCCCCTCCAAAAGTAATATATGTCGATTGCGCTGCTCAATCCTTTTAATTATATTTTATTTTTGGATATGGGATATGGGCGGAAGTCTTACTGTAGTAAGAACGGTTTCAACCTTGGTCATTGATAAAATGGAACAACACTAAATGGCGCCCACCCTCTTACTAATTGTTTGATAGGCATTACTTAGAAGTTGACGGATGACAAAGTAGAGAGAGTTTATGGACAAATTATCCATAAATTGTCTCTACTTTGTCAAGAATGCAGTTTACCGACCACGAGTAGTGGGCTTGATACACAGATGCGTTGGTGGTTTCTTACTTCTTGATCACAGTCACACACTAAGTAAAAAACATTGATTCTTACCTTACATGTTTACTTTAATAACTGTTAAACCAAACACCAATTTGTAGTGAAAAATATTAGTCGTGAAAAGATAAATATTTTCATTCATTGTACCATCCTTGACATTATCGACTGTAAACCTTCAATGTGCAATGGCTTACACACCACAGAAAAGTGTACATGCAAGTGTCATAATACATATCAGATCGTGAACAATTAAGGTATTGTGATACGTATCGGATTGCACAGTTGGTGTATCGTCCAAGCACCTACCTTCACCTTCTGCTTTGTGGTAAGGGAAGTGGGGATGTGCACAAGCTCCTTCCTTAGTAATGAAAGTTTTTCAGATGCCCTTTTTTGCTGCCCCTCTCCCCTGCCCCATCCCCACACCAAAGTTAATAATGATGTTTGGTTTGTTGAAATGTGGCCCCGATGGGAGTCGTTGATAAGGTTGTTACACACCATTATGAAACTTCTATATTCAAGTACTTTTGTGATGTTCAATTTTCAATGTTTATTGATTGAGTTGACATTCTATTTTGAGGTCTCATAGTAAACCATACAAATGAAAGCAAAGGAATGTTTCTACTTATGTTTTTGCAAATAGTAAACGCAGTTGCATGTGACTACCGTATTCAACGTAATAAGCGCCCACAGCAATTTTTGTTAATGTATTAGCTAGTGAACAATCCCAATTAGCACTCCTTCCAATTGATCAATGTACACAAGACTTATTTATTCGTGTATAATACACACTTGTGTGTTATATGCACCGTTAATTATGGGCAATTAAATTCTGGAAAATATATCTGTCGTGTATAATACACACAGACTTTTCTTTTCTATCATTTCAGGCTGTCAGCATTAACCACGAAATTTACGATCTTTCAACTCTGTCTTTTTTGTCAAGAAAAATTTTATTCTAATAAGAGCCCCCTATTTCAAATTTTGAGAGCGCCCTGGGCGCTTATTACGTCAAATGTGGTATATTAGAAGCATTAAACAAACGTGGCAGATATACCATATTCTTCGTAATAAGCGCCCACGGCAATATTTGCTAATATATTGGCTAGTGAACAGTCCCAATTAGCACCCCTTTTGATTGATCAATGTAAAACAAGACTTATTTATTCGCGTATAACACGCATTCATGTGTTATATGCACCCTAATTATGGGCAATTAAATTCTGGAAAAATATATCTGTCGTACATAAACATTTCAGGCTGTCAGCATAAACCACGAAATTTATCTTTCAACTCTGTTAAAAAACAAAATAGAATAATATTCTAATAAGAGCCCCCTATTTCTAATTTTGAGAGCGCTCTGGGTGCTTATTACGTCGAAAATGTTAGGTGTCCGGGGAAAAGCATCTGTACCCCAATACTTTCACAGCCCCCTCTGCATGTTAATCATGACTATTGCCAATGTTTGATTAAATACATGTACTTTGTCTTCAACAGATTCTACCATGAGTTCTCCCTATAGTGAGCACCATAAACATAGAATACATTCACCGAATCAACGAGGATCACCCGCTGGCACCATGAACGTTGCAGAGAAATTGTACTGGCGGAATAAGCTGCCCCACGGCTTCCAGTATTACCTGGAGCGTATGGCACGCAGCATCATCAGGGGGATGCCGGACAATGTGTATGAATTTGCAGCAGTCTACCTGGAGGAAAAACTTGTCGAGAGAAATGGTGAGTTAGTCTGAATATTCCCTTGTTTGAAAGAAATAGTACACACACATACACACCAATGTCATCAATAAAATCCTGCAGAAAGCTGAGTGGAAAAATGTAGCATCCCCTTCAAATGTCAGAGCTACAGATAAGCAGCGTATTTGCATAAAATACCCCCCCCCCTTTATAATCTTTATATCAATCACTGGATTATCAGGGCCAGTCTCAATTATGAACAGGCCATCATCACATTGGTGGAATATTGCTGAATGCAGTGTTAAGCAACATGCATATCTGGGCTTGTCTTAAAATCCCCCACATCACATGAAATATTGTTTCATGACAAAAATTCACTATATAACTACATTGTTACACTACAATTTTAAGTCACTAATGTTCTCATTTCTTCATGACTATGAACACGTTCCTTCTGACTTACATATGTTTGAACAAAGCTAAAACGTCAGTCAACTTCAGTGTATGCATGACCACATCGTTTTATACGTGTATCTAAATACACTCTGCCAGGGTTTCTGTCAAACTATTCCCAATCGGACATTTTGTACCTATCTCTTGACACCAACAGCGGGTACCTGGGTAGGGTCGGGTAATAGGGGTGTGGGTACCCGGGTAGTAAATTTGGACACATCCTAGTCAAACAACCTACTCTATCAACGCAGTGATGTGGTCATATATATCTGCCAACGCATGGTCCTGGGTAGACTTGATACTGCTGGCGGACGAAGCAGATTGTAGGATTCTAAACTGAATGAAGCCTGCATGTATGACATCATCCAATATTTAATGACATACCATATTCGACGTAATAAGTGCCCAGGGCGCTCTCAAAATTAGAAGTAGGTGGCTCTTATTAGAATATTATTTTGGTGGAAAAAAAACAGATTTGAAAGATAAATTTTGTGGTTTATGCTGACAGCCTGAAGTGTTTATGTACGACAGATATATTTTTCCAGAATTTAATTGCCCATAATTAAGGGTGCATATAACACACGAGTGCGTCTTATACACAAATAAATAAGTCTTGTGTACATCGATCAATCAGAAGGGGTGCTAATTGGGACTGTTCACTAGCCAATATATTAGCAAATGTTGCTGTGAGCGCTTATTAGAACGGGGCGCTTATTACGTCAAATACGGTAATGTTTTTCTTATTCTTGGGTGAAGTCATTTCTGTCTGAGAACTGTTTGAAAAAACACCTATATCAAAGTAACCTGAATCTTAATACTGAGTGTGTAAGGCACATTTTCAGATGTTTTACTGATATTGTTCTTCTCAAAACCTTCTGTTGGCAGCCTTTAAAATTCACACTCGTCCACTAGCCTGTGACCATTGTGTCAATGTCATTAAAATCAGATCTCCGTGCTCGCTACCACAACACAAAGACCTGAGAACATCCCATTACAGGTCACGTCAGAAGGACCTTCCGCAAACTTTTACAGACCAATGAAATGAAAAATAAGATGTTGACATTAGCCAGTTTCTTTGAGCTTAATGGCACTAGTTTCTAACTGTCTACTTCCATTCCAGACTACGCTTAATATATATATATACACGTATATCGATTCAAAATTTCAAAACTGAACAAAAGAAAACTTTGGAATGTCTAATAGATGGCTGAGATTGTTTGGCAGTACTTCCCATGGGCATGAATGTCTCTTCCGTTTCAAATGTTTATAACATTGAAAACAGAGATAGACGATGATTGCATGATTAGAAAAAACATTTAGACTGTCACTTTCCTGATCTGGTACGCTACGCATCGATTGTTCAGATGTAAGGTCATAGTGGCAAGACGCAACATGCAATGGCATGTCTTCAGATCTATGTTTAGCGGTAGCGAGAACTAAGATCTGATTTAGTGAGATTGAAATTATGCTGTGGTAGTCCTCATTGACGAGTTGTATTTGATGGCGATAATTCCAATCTCATTAAAATCAGACCTCAGTTCTTGCTACCGCTAAACAAAGATCTGAGGACATCCCATTAGGGGTCACGTCAGAACGACCTTTCATCCAACCAATCAGAGCATGGCTTACAAGATTATGAAAGTGACAGTCGGAATGTGATTTCTAATCATGCAACCTCGAAAACTTTAACTCCGAACGATAGTTACGGGTTTAACAACTGAATCCATACAATGTAGACCATCTATTAGCCATTCCAGAATGTTCTTTTGTTCAGGTTTCAAATTTGTAATCGAGAATTTGTCAAAATATGTTTCGAAGCGTATTTGAAATTAGTGTCGTAAAGCACGAAAAAGCTGCCTTCTGATTGGTCATTCCATTGGTCGGTCAAAGTTTCGGCAAGGTCTGTCTGACGTGGCCCGTAATGGGATGTCCTCAGATCTTTGTTTAGCTGTAGTGAGAACAAAGATCTTATTTTAATGAGATAGGCGATAATTCTGAACCAGTTCTCAATGGCCAAATTGGTACTGAATAAAACTGAAGGGAAATGAAAACATAGTAACTATTTTTGTTTCATTCAAGCAGGACTAGCGACACACTTTGAAGATTAGTGAAATAAGGACCCTTCACGTTCTCTTGAAGAATGTTTGATAAGATCATTTGGCATTTTTGTGAAATGTGATGGGAATCTTAAAACTTGAACAGCGTTTAAACAAAAGTTTAAAGAAGAAAGTGAACTGATTGAACTTTAAGCCTGCCTGTATGCATCCTTCCCACACAACATGCACACAACTAGATATGTTTCTCATCCTTCTGCCACACAACTAGATATGTTTCTCATCCTTCCGCCACACAACTAGATATGTTTCTCATCCTTCCCACACAACAAGCACACAACTAGATATGTTTATTATCCTTCCGCCACACAACAAGATATGTTTCTCATCCTTCCGCCACACAACTAGATATGTTTCTCATCCTTCCCACACAACAAGCACACAACTAGATATGTTTCTCATCCTTCCCACACAACAAGCACACAACTAGATATGTTTCTCATCCTTCCACCACACAGCTAGATATGTTTCTCATCCTTCCGCCACACAACTAGATATGTTTCTCATCCTTCCCACACAACAAGCACACAACTAGATATGTTTCTCATCCTTCCCACACAACAAGCACACAACTAGATATGTTTCTCATCCTTCCCACACAACAAGCACACAACTAGATATGTTTCTCATCCTTCCCACACAACAAGCACACAACTAGATATGTTTCTCATCCTTCCCACACAGCAAACACACAACTAGATATGTTTCTCATCCTTCCCACACAACATGCACACAACTAGATATGTTTCTCATCCTTCCCACACAACAAGCACACAACTAGATATGTTTCTCATCCTTCCCACACAACAAGCACACAACTAGATATGTTTCTCATCCTTCCCACACAACATGCACACAACTAGATATGTTTCTCATCCTTCCCACACAACAAGCACACAACTAGATATGTTTCTCATCCTTCCCACACAACAAGCACACAACTAGATATGTTTCTCATCCTTCCCACACAACAAGCACACAACTAGATATGTTTCTCATCCTTCCCACACAACAAGCACACAACTAGATATGTTTCTCATCCTTCCCACACAACAAGCACACAACTAGATATGTTTCTCATCCTTCCCACACAACAAGCACACAACTAGATATGTTTCTCATCCTTCCCACACAACATGCACACAACTAGATATGTTTCTCATCCTTCCGCCACACAACTAGATATGTTTCTCATCCTTCCCACACAACATGCACACAGCTAGATATGTTTCTCATCCTTCCGCCACACAACTAGATATGTTTCTCATCCTTCCCACACAACAAGCACACAACTAGATATGATTCTCATCCTTCCGCCACACAACTAGATATGTTTCTCATCCTTCCCACACAACATGCACACAGCTAGATATGTTTCTCATCCTTCCCACACAACATGCACACAACTAGATATGTTTCTCATCCTTCCGCCACACAACTAGATATGTTTCTCATCCTTCCCACACAACAAGCACACAACTAGATATGATTCTCATCCTTCCCACGCAACATGCACACAGCTAGATATGTTTCTCATCCTTCCCACACAACATGCACACAACTAGATATGTTTCTCATCCTTCCCACACAACATGCACACAACTAGATATGTTTCTCATCCTTCCCACACAACATGCACACAACTAGATATGTTTCTCATCCTTCCGCCACACAACTAGATATGTTTCTCATCCTTCCCACACAACAAGCACACAACTAGATATGATTCTCATCCTTCCCACGCAACATGCACACAGCTAGATATGTTTCTCATCCTTCCCACACAACATGCACACAACTAGATATGTTTCTCATCCTTCCCACACAACAAGCACACAACTAGATATGATTCTCATCCTTCCCACGCAACATGCACACAGCTAGATATGTTTCTCATCCTTCCCACACAACATGCACACAACTAGATATGTTTCTCATCCTTCCCACACAACATGCACACAACTAGATATGTTTCTCATCCTTCCCACACAACATGCACACAACTAGATATGTTTCTCATCCTTCCCACACAACAAGCACACAACTAGATATGATTCTCATCCTTCCCACGCAACATGCACACAGCTAGATATGTTTCTCATCCTTCCCACACAACATGCACACAACTAGATATGTTTCTCATCCTTCCCACACAACATGCACACAACTAGATATGTTTCTCATCCTTCCCACACAACATGCACACAACTAGATATGTTTCTCATCCTTCCCACACAACATGCACACAACTAGATATGTTTCTCATCCTTCAGCTGAGATCCAGCGGCTGCCTGATGTTACCTACTTTGACAGACTGAAGGAGAAACATGCCCCTCCACCGTCAGAACAAGATGACGTCAGTGAGGGGGAGGGAGCTCTCCAACAGACAGGTGAGAAACACACATTATCTTCCACGCCACCAACCTCCTGGTGTACAGACAAGCTTACAGTTATAGGCAAATGCTTTGATCATCTCACTGTGAAGAGTTGCACCTTTAGGAATTGTTTGATCATGGGGTCAGGGCCCTGTTCCACAGCGCTCAGACGATCGTAACTCCCATATATTAACATACACTTACGACAATGGAGTGCTAAGATCCCTTTGTGGAACTCGCCCTAATCCAGGATTCACACTTGTTTATATACTGTAAATCTTGAAATTAACGCGAGCGTGAATTAAATGCGAAAAATCACATTTACATCAACAATAAGACATTTTGGATTGCAAAAATACCAATTTAGACATACGCTGATGTATTCCACACCACTGTTTATTGAGCAGCACTTGTATATAAAGTATATAAACCATGTCATTCAAACACTAATTACGTCCTGTGAATTGTCACTGCTGGGGTCAAGACAAGAGTTCTACTCACTTATGTCATCACTGATCACACCTGCAAGTCCAGACAGACGCTACCCTTTGTTCTTTGCGACTGCGTCAAAGGCCGACACGAGCCAGCACGCATGTATTGTTTTTGTGGAAGTACTCTACTCAGCGCTAATAAGCGGTGCTATTTGGTGTGTGATTGGATTAATGTAAGGTTGGATTAAGGTGAGGATTCTAAACCTGACTGAGGACATCTTTAGATAGATATCCACTGATGCTTGAGAGGAGGGGGTGTCGCATTCATATTGAGTCGCATTTTTAGCTAGGGTCCAGTGGTCGCATTCTTTGGAGACGCATTAATTTCAGGATTTACAGTATAACCTAGTTCACATGCACAAATTTACTTACTTAAGAAATTTTCTACATGTGTAACTATACATACGTGTGTATGAGTAAATTTACTATGCGTTCACATGGAAATCAACTTAGGTGTGAAAATGAAGTTGTAAATTTGGTAAGGCATATGTATTCGTCAGTCTGTTTACAACTTTCAACACAAAACAGGTTGTTTTCCAATCAAAGTTGAGTGAGAAGAGAGTTGTTTCACAGAAAATATTCGCATGAAGCAACATGTGTTTGATTTAATTTGTACACAAAGTTATGACTCATTGAAACCAGAAGAAAACACTGTCTGCTCAACTCTGTATATACACATAAAAGTTGACAATTTGTTTTGTGTCGGCAAAAGAACAGATATTAATTAGATCATCCTCTTATGTTCACATTGCAACACATACACACAGTGCAAATTTATATTTACTTTTGCACCTGCTCCAGACATGTTGCAAATTTGTTCCTGGTGTAAATATACACACATGAGTAAATGCGTTCACATGACAAGTATACTCACATACCGTATTCGACGTAATAAGCGCCCAGGGCGCTCTCAAAATAAGAAATAGGGGGCTCCTATTAAAATATTATTTTGGTGGGAAAAAACAGAATTGAAGGATAAATTTAATTTCGTGGTTTATGCTGACAGCCTGAAATGTTTATGTACGACAGATATATTTTTTCCAGAATTTAATTGCCCATAATTAAGGGTGCACAAGTGTGTATTATACGCGAATAAATAAGTCTTGTGTACATTGATGAATCGAAAAGGGTGCTATTTGGGATTGTTCACTGGCCAATATATTAGCAAATATCGCCGTGGGCGCGTATTAGAGCGGGGCGCTTATTACGTCAAATACGGTATGTATTTCTACACACATATGTATAGAGGGGCATGTGAACGGGTATATGATTCTAGGTCTGTCAGCCCATGCATCACTTCAGGTATTCTCCAACATTAAGTTCACAAGAAGTATCGTTCAAAAGTATTGTTTAAGCTCAAATCACTCATTTACTCATTTTGTTTGAGAGGTGAGGGTCAAATGCACACTCCGGTGCAGTGGTGACTTAGCATAACACCACTGCCACAGGCTAATTTGCATATCACGTGACCGGACTTTTCTCTTGTTGTAAACAAACCCGCTTTTTCAGATATTAGAATAGAACAGACTAATGCAAGTATTTAGGGGCACTTGACATATTGTTTTGCATAATTATATAGATATGCTACTACAACTGCGACAGTGAGTTGCATGACAATACATATTTATTCATCAAAGTGACCGTATAGCTAGCTCTCCGTAGGGCTTCGATGACAGTATGTGGAGCCGTACAAGCAATGTAAACATAGGATAACTACGCAAATAGAAATAGTTTTTCACGATTTAGGATATTTTCTCAATGAAAGTTAACCATTTTTGGACATATGTTTATCTAGATATGAGACTTGTCAAAAATAAAACAGATTAAAAACATATGCAATATCTTGAATGGACGGTGTATGATGTGACACATCGTCACATGGCGCTGGCCTGCGGCAGAAGTACTATGCTGGCTGCATGGAACTCTGGGTAAGAGAGAGGGTCAAATGCTAACCATGGAAATACAGATGTAGGGCTAAGTTACAACTGTGAGCGTGCCCTTGAATCTGATCCTGTATGTTTACATGTATCACTGTGCTAGAGTGGTGTCAGCACCCAAGTTAACAGCCAGAACATAATGATTGATATCAATATGTACATGTATAGCAGCTGTGCTTCTTCTTAGAAATAGTCGTGTTTGTGGAGTCAGTGTCAATATTTTGGATGACTAATACCCTGCTCCCGGAAATACACTTCAATCTGATTAACTCAATTTATCATCCTAATTTCGCCCTTATTACCAGTAGCTTATGGCATCTGAGATGCAGGATGAAATCTTGTAATATACCGTATTCAACATAATAAGCGCCCCGCTATAATAAGCACCCACGGCAATATTTGCTAATATATTGGCTCGTGAACAATCCCAATTAGCACTCCTTCCGATTGACCAATGTACACAAGACTTATTTATTCGTGTATAATACGCATTCGTGTGTTATATGCACCCTTAATTATGGGCAATTAAATTTTGGAAAAATATATCCGTCGTATATAAAGATTTCAGGCTGTCAGCATAAACCACAAAATTTGTCTTTCAGCTTTTTTTCACCAAAATAATATTCTAATAAGAGCCCCTTATTTCTAATTTTGAGAGCGCCCTTGGCGCTTATTACATCGAATACGGTAACTATTATTTTAAGTTGTTGCAGTATCCCTGGGGGTACATACCACACGCCTCCAGAGGCACGACGCATAAAACCACATGTACCCCGATTGATACTGCTACAACTAATTTTTCTTACTAACATGTTTTAGTCTGCATTCTAAAAAAATTAATACAAATTAAAACTTGATAGAAAAACAGCTGTTCAATTGAGCTTAGGTTAACTTGTGCTATGGCACATAACTTTCATTGACTCGGAAAAAGCATTTGACTTTTTGCTTTGAAGTGGGGTGTAAGGGATTTATTTTCCCGCTGAGAAATCCACAGGCAGCCTGTCTTGTTCATGGCGGGGTATAAGAGGTTTAATCTCCCACTGAGAAATGTATTTACCTCCAAGGCAGGATACATGGTATTTTATCAAGATGACCTGAATCAATCAGACCTCATCATTCTGACATGGAGGTATGATAAGGTGATTTACGATACTGGAATGACAAGTGTCTTACTTTCAGAAATATGTCTGTTCAACCCTATCCTTGATTACACAGTTTATTACATCTCTGAGAGGTCTCATTGAGAGTTATCCCTATTGAACCATGCTGCTTGGCTAGCTCAGTCCAGTTGTTCGATTTTTTGGGGACAGGGACAAATATTTGAAGATACTTCAATTGTTCAAATGTCACAAACTCTTTTAAGTTTATGTGACATTATGTCAACGATAGGCTCACTGAGTGATGTCTCCAATTGCTATAAAGGAACCAACATTTTTGTACCTTTTCTCAGAAATAAGACTATGGTTACCGTATTCGACGTAATAAGCACTCCGCTCTAATAAGCACCCACGGCGATATTTGCTAATATATTAGCTAGTTAACAAAACCAATTAGCACCCTTCCAATTGATCAATGTACACAAGACTTATTTACTCGTGTATAATACGCACACGTGGGTTATATGCACCCTTAAACACGGGAATTTAAATTCTGGGGAAAATATATCTGTCGTGTATGTAATTGTCTACTACTTGTTGGTTGGTTGGTTTGTTGTTTAACCCGTACTCAGCAATATTCCAGCTATATGGTGGCGGTCTGTAAATAATCGAGTCAGGACCAGACAATCCAGTGATTAATATCATGAGCATCGATATTGGGATCGATGACATGTATCAACCATGTCAGCGAGCCTGACCACCCATTAGTCGCCTTTTACGACAAGCATAGTCGGCTTTTAAGGCAAGCATGGGTTGCTGAAGACCTATTCTACCCCGGAATCTTCACGGGGCGACTACTACTTGTACTACTTGTTATAGTTATATATCCAAAATATTTGGAACTTGACCCTGTTCCATAAAGCGATTGTAGCGCTAATGTGATCTTAACTCCCATTATTTAGCATAGACTCTATGATCGCTTTGTGGAACGGGGCTGGGGATCAGAAGTATATGTAAGTCAGTCCATTTTTGTGGGTCTGATACACATCCATGCAAGCATATCCTCTTTCATGTTTTCAACATTAGATGTAGATTTTGGATCAATATTGACAATCAATCAGTACTTAAATATATATGTCATGGAAACACAGATCCGGTTTCATAGTCAGCAAAATCTGTCGATATTTATGAGGTCAGTGTCACACAAAACTGGCCAGGTCACTACAACCGGAGGATGGATCTGGTGTATTCGATTTGATTAATAAAAAGTTGCAGAAAAATGATTCATACATTTCTATGGAAGTGTATTAGTGCCACAGTCTAAAAGGAAATTATCTACTTAGACAATACTTTCATCTATGAATGAAGGTGATTGCTAAAAAACTGCTTGTCCTAAGAGGCGACTAACGGGATTGGGTGGTCAGGCTCGGTGACTTGATTGATGCATTTCATCGATCCCTATTGCATGGATCGATGCTCATGATGTCAAT